TGCGTGCACATGCGTGTGCGCGCACACACAGAGATTTATGTATTTATTCATTTGGTCATAGGGCTTGAACTCAGGGCTGGGAACTATCACTAAACTCTTTTGCTCAAGGCTAGCCCTCTACCTCTGAGCCAGAGCACCACTTGCAGTCTTCTGGTGGTTAACTGGAGACAAGAGTCTCATGGACTTTCCTGCCCATACTGTCTTTGAACCACAATCCTCAGATCTCAGCCTCCTAGGTAGCTAAGATTATAGGTGTGAGCCACCAGCACCAGTCTGGGTTCAAAGATCTTTTCAACACCTGCTCATGCTAGGTCTTTGAAACAAGAATCCTATGGTTCTCCAATAAAGACTCACAGTTTGGCCTCTTAAATGATGGATTCTCTGTCATAACAGAGATTCTCTGTCTCCTTACAAGAGGGAGGGTAGCAAACTAAGTTTGTGGAGGCAGAAGTTCTGTGTACCCCTTCTTTTGGACAATCGTTTAATGATATACTTTAGAAGGGCTTATGCATACCCCTGATTTATAACCAATTTGTGCAGAGATATCAGTAATATGAGGATTAATTGATGTGACTGGCATCAGAAATGAGGGGCAAGCTGGTAGAACTGAGCTCTTTGCCTTATAGAATTTAAAGTTAACTTCAGCTAGTGTCAGAATTGAACTGAATCACAGGACACCTGGTTAGTGAGAGGTGAGGAATTTGTTGCTATGGGAAAACCTCCCACACATTTTCTGTCAGGAGTGTTCTGTGAGAGTAAAGGAAAACAGAATTTATTTTCCTTAGTTTATAGACCTCTTTTATAATCCCTGTTCTTTCTTTGTCACTAATTAGGATAACTTATTGTTTGAAAAACAAAATGTCCATTGCCTCATCCAGCTTCTGGTGGCTGATGTTCTTTGGTTTGGGCTACTTTGCTTCTCTCTCTATCTTTATGGTCACCTGGCTTCTGTTTGTCTCTGTCAGATATCTCTCTGCCTCTTCTAACAACACTTTTTTATTACATGGAAGCCCAACCCAGACAATCCAAGACAATTTCCTCATCTTTAAAATCCTGAATAACTCCTTTTGACAGGCTACAGCAGAGAAAGTCTGTTGGATGAATGAATGAATGATCAGAGCCTTGGAACTCAGGAAATCTCCCTAAAGAAGCAGACACACATCTCACCTCTGAGTTTTAGCTACACTTGTAATGGATCCTTCCCTGAAAATTCAGTGTCCTACTAGCTGTGCCTAACACCAAGAGAAGACATTTTTTTTTTTTCCTCTGCTTGGGAGACTTTCCTTAAAACTTCTCATAAGCAGCCTAGAAAAGGTACAAGGGATGATATGTACACTGTAGGAATAATCCCAGTGCAGAATAGAATGGAGGCCTGAGCCTCTCTTCTTTTGGTCAAACAATCCAGGGGGGTATTTTGTTAACTTTTCAAGTCTACCCCACTCCACTCCCCGCCCCATGTTGCCTACAGCAGTGATTTCAATGATAGACATGTTTTTGGGTTTGTTTGGTTTTTTTTTTTTGGTAGCTTTTTGTCAGTCTCTACTTTTGGGAAATGCTAAACAAAGACAGAAGGTTCCCAGCAGAGTATCCTTGGGAAAGCCACAAAAATGCTGTATAGGGGTCAACATGGCAAATGTCCAAGCTCAATAGGCACGTTCATAGGCTGGCTTCTGTGCCAATTTAGCAAAGTACCTCCTGTTCTTTAAACACCTTCCCAACCATTACCCACTTCAACCGTGGAAGAGTCAAGGGCAAATAGGATGGGAAAACAAGAAGAAGCAGGACAGAACAATTTACTACATTTTCATCCTCTTTTATCAGGGTTCTAGTTTTAAGCAGGGAAACTGCCTTCATTCCTTTTGACACAATACTTAAAATTGTCAACACATTTGTTCTAGTCACTTAGAGGCAAATTTGTTCACTAATTGGCATCATGGTACTTTAATTATGCTTTTAAGTACTGCTAGTGATAATACTCTCTGAAGAAGTAATTGATCATTGACTTACATGTCTATAAAATAGAATCCTACTTCACATTATCTTTGCAGAATGAAACAAGCTATCTCAAGAAAATTTCCTGATAGCTGGTGGATGACCCAACAATGGGCTCCTCTACTGCAAGCTTCCTGAAGACAGGGATGACAGAGTGCTCAATTTTATTCCCCCAGATCTTAGCAGAGTGCTTGAGACACAGTAGGCACTCAGTGGATTACTGAATGGAAGAGTGGAGAGGTTCTAGAATATCACCCTCCATCATTTTAGGTGATGCTGCCCCCTCAGGACTTACCATTGTTATTGGCAAGCAAAGCTGTTAAATGCCAGCACCTGCATCTGTTTGCCCATGTGCTTTCTCTAAATTGGAGTGCAGAGAATTAGGGCTTCCTGAAAGCACCCGTCACCAATGAATGCTGGGAGTTGTGACTAAATATCTGGCTTTGTCGCCCTTGGATAGGATAATTATGAAGTATGTGTTCTGCCCAAGGTGGCTAGCTCTAGTGACTCAACAGTGGTAATTTTCTTGATACCTTGATAACTGGCTTTTTTCTTTTCTTTCTTCCTTTTTTTTTTTGTTGGTCGTGGGGCCTGAACTCTGGGCCTGGGCACTGTTCCTCAGCTCTTCAGCTCAAGGTTAGCGCTCTACCACTTGAGCCACAGCTCCACTTGCATTTTTTTTCTGCTTATGTGGTGCTGAGGAATCGAACTCAGGGCCTCATGCAAGGCAAGCACTCTACCACTGAGCCACCTTCCCAGCCCCTTTACTGGCTTTCTTACCCCCTCTCCCCCACACGCATGCATGTTTATACATACGGATGGATGATGAGTGGGTGGACAGGTGGATGAGTGGATGAATAGATGTATATTTTGGCAGTACTGGGGATTGAGCACAGGGCCTTGAGCTTTCTAACACTTTACCACTTGAGACATGCCTCTACTTCTTTTGCTCCTTTTTTTCTTTGTTTTTGGCTAGAGATGTATGATTTTGCCCAGGCTGGTCTCCTACCTCTGCCTCCAGAGTAGCTGAGATTACTGGAACGTGCCACCACACTCAGCTCCTAAACTACTTACACACAAATCCCTAACTCATAGTTAGATTCTAGGGAAACCTATACTAAGAAAATTTCCTGGCTCAGGTTTGTAAGTGATATGTGAAGCTCTCTAAAGCAAGGCCCTTTTCTCATAGCATTCATCCCTTTTCCTGATTGGTTTCAGATCTTCATGTAATCTGTAAATTATTTGGCCTAACTCACTTTCATTCTGAACTCTGCCAAGCCACAGCTGCCTCTGTGCTGCCTGTCATCTTCTTTAGTGGGCTGTTTCTAGACTTAGCCGTGACTACAGGAACAGAAATCCTTCATGTTTTCTTGCTAAGGAATCATTATCCTAGTTTGATTTGCAGACTAGTGGGAAGATTACAACTGAATGATGTTAATTTTTCCTTAAGTTCTTTCAGGAATGAATTCTGGAAGATTCCCTGTATATTTGCTGTGGGTCAGTATGCTCTGTTCGTTCAATGACATGGAGAACAGTACAAGATGGTATTTTGCCATAACTAGAAAATAATGGTAGCTTACAGGCAGAAGCTCTTAACACTCTTGTTAGTCATCTTGAAGCTGTCCCCAGGGTGGGAGGAAGTGCTTCAGTGGTCGCATTGAAGAAGAGGCCTAGAAATGGATGTTTTAGTGACTAAACTACTCCTTTTTTCAAAACCTGTTCTTCCTGTTCTTCCAAGATCTCTGACCATCTTGTACTACACCCCATTATTTACAAATGAACTGTTCTTGTCCCTAAGTTGGATTTTTTTTTTAAGTAGGCAAAGAGAATTGCTTTGCTATCAAAGCATTCCACGTTTTGGCTAGAGAATAGATACAGGACATAGATTGATTTCTGACTTTTTAAATTTATTTTTCTTTTCTGTAGTACTGAGGTTTGAATTCAAAGGCCTTAAGCAGGTGCTCTACCAGTTGAACCATCCTACCAGTCTCACTTTTTTCCTTTGGTTATTTTCAGAATAAAACCTTGCTTTATGAGCTGGCTGGTTTAGCCTGCAGCCCTCCTGTTTGTGTGTCCCTTCATTAGTGCACCTGATCATTGTGCTTCCCTTATACATCGGGATAAAGGGCTTGCACATGTGTCATTGGTTAAGATGGGCTCTCGTGAACTTTTATACCTGGGATGATCTCAAGCTCTGATCTATATCTGATCTGCACCTCCAAGTAGCCAGGATTATAGACTTGAGCCACTGAGTTTTTAAAAGATAGTCAAAGCAACAATTTAAGAGTCTTCTTCTAGATGTCAGGACTTGCTTTCTAAAATAGGTATTATTCTTCGCATGTGGCAGGTCAGAAACTTGAGACTAGAGAGGTCTAATAGCTAGAAAGTTGGGGTGCTGGGATTTAAGCCTAACCTTCACAAGTCACAGCCTCTTACACTCTCCTTACCCACCCATTGTACTTTTCCCCCCAAGCCTGGCCATAGAATCTGACGTTTTCACTTTGCCTCAATGGCTCCAACTCCTTCTTTTCTAGGCACTGCTTGTTATAAGGTGCTGTTTGTTCATTTGCATTTCATTGGCTCACAGGATCATTGCTGAAGGTCTATTTGTGCAAGGTCTGAAACCTTTGTCTTAATAACTTCTGAGGTATCTATATTCCTACCTTCTCCAAACTCACTCCTTGAAACCTTGGTATATCTGTAGGAGACAAGAAACCCAGCTGCTCTCTTGAAAGGAGAGGGCACTTTTCTGAGGATGCCACCTTGTATAATATGGAAATAGTGTTCTTTATCTCCAAGTCCTGACTAGGTCGCCAAGATGACAAGTTTGTACCCACATCTTAGGTAACCAGTTCACACCTTCTCCCACATGTTTCCCTCAACTAAGCAAGAAATATAAAGTTGTTTTTCTCTGTTTTTTTTTTTTTTTGGAGGGGGGGACCAGGGGACACTACTGGAGCTTGCACTCAAGGCCTTATGCTTACTAGATAAGCATTCTACCACTTGGCCATACCCTTATCCCTTCTTTTTAGTTTTCTTGACATAGCATCTTGGGCATTTTGCCTAGGCTAGCCTTGGACAATAATCCTATATTCTCCTTCACCGACCATAGCTGAGATTATAGGAATGCACCACTACTACAACAAGTCTTTGAAGTTGTTTCTCTAGCTTTGTGTACTTCCTGTGACAGGACTGTGTGAAAAATCAGCAAGCAGGTTCTTGATTTGGTTGAGGAAATTCTTTATTTTTGAAGATAGCTTAGCATGAACTCATGAGCATGTTTTTGGATCATCCAGAGCCTACCTATAGTGATTTCTAAGCAAGAAAATCAGTGTGGCAACAAGTAGGCCAATCACAAATAAATCCCAGTATGGTCCAACGGTGTTGTCCAATTTCATCCATTTCCATCTCATTGTAAACTGTTGACAAGTGACATTTAGGTTAAAAAAAAGTCCTAAATTACCACTGTATTCAGATCCATCATCTCCTTCTTATCCACCTCCCACCTCTCGCAGATCTCATCAATTCCCCTTTGCTTCCTGCAGTCTTAGAAGAGACAGTCTTTTCTGGCTTCCAGCTCTTAGAGAGGGCTCAGCCAGCTACCATTGGAATATCCTCCAAGATTTATAAAATTTAATTTCAAATTCTTTTCAAATTGTAGCTCTTTGTGGTACCATTTGCTACCTACCATCTGCTTACCAGTCTGAGATTTTTGATGGCAATAGCTGTGTTTTGAACAATATATATAGCACATGTTATTTCACTTAAGGCTTTGAACATAGTTTGTGCTGAAAAAAATATCTACCAAATGAATTCATTGGGTGTACTACAAAGTGCCAACACATACTCAATATAACAAGTAAAGCTGTTCTGCATGGTAAATATAAGTCTGAATGCTACTTGTCAAGGGAAAGCTATCCAAAAAATACTCTTATGATGGGCCTCATCATTTTGTCCCTAAGAATTGCTTATTGGAATTTCAGAACCTCAGGGCCTATTTGAAACACACTTACGTTAAAAAACAGGATGTCTCGGAGCAAATGCATTGTTTCCAGTTTCATAAGGGCAAAGAACACAGGTATGTGAGCATCTGGACTTGTTTGAGCAGCCATGTCATACAATCTCCTGGCCAAGTGGATGTCCTAGAAATAGAACAACAGCCCATCCTCATTAGCTACAGGTTCTTGACAGATAAACAGAAGCCATTGTTAGAAATTCTATAGTTTATATTTGGCAGAGTGGTCCCCTACAGATGTCTATGCTTTCATCTGTAGAACCTGCAGGTATATCATAAGTCAAGGGGCTTTTACAAATGTAATTAAGAATATAGATCTTAAAATAGATTATCCTACATCATCCAGGTGGACCCCATATCATTGTATGAACCTTTAAACAGAATTATCTCTAGAACAAAGAAAGAAGAAAACCAGAGACTCTCAACTCACCATTGCTGGAAGCTGCCACAAGGGAAAAATGAGAAGAAATTCAAACAGCTAGCAAGGAAACAGAATCCTTGATCATACAACTTCAATTCAGCCAACCACCTGAATGAGCTTGAGAGCAGATTCTTCCCAGAGCCTCTAGTGAAGAATGCGACCTTGATTTTTGTCATGTGAGACCCTATACAGAGGACCCAGTCAAACCACCAAGACTTTTGATGCACAGAAACCATGAAGTAATAAATTATATGTTGTTTTAAGCAATTAAATTTATTTTACAAAGAAACTAGGACAAGCCTTTAAAAGCTTTCTTGGATATCCTAGACCAGCTCTTTATACTTGTGAATTCAATGAAAGGGTTAGAGATCACTAGATACTAAGAGCGGTTTCCTAAAACAAACACAAATGTAAGTAAAAGGATGATAATTTATTGTGTATAATGATCACCATCATATTTATCTTACCTGAAGTTATTAATTTGTCTCTAAGTCCTTGAAGACAAGGTCTTGTATTATTTTTTCCCAGTATTTCATGAAGTTCCTACTATGTAATAGGGCTTCAGGAATATTTTATAGAATGAGAGAATATATAAAAAAGAATATCTGTCATAAACATTATAGACTATGATAATGAGAATTTGCCTTGTGAAGGCTAAAATGTGTTTGTGAGTATCACTATCTCACAATACTGAGAAATTTGTGAATTTTATGAAATCACTTAATCTCAATAAAAATTATAAAAAAAGAAAAAAAAAGATGAGAGAATATAATCTTTTGGCTCTTGGCTTGGAATTTGATTCCCCAAATAACATAATACTATATTGTCAGGGACTTGCTTTTGATAACATTAGATAATGGCCGAGAGAAATACTTTATTTTCACTTTGTATGGCTTATTGTACTTGCTTTATTTTGCTCTGTCAAACAGTGGTGAAAAGGCTAAGGTGTTTTACTTGTAAAGGTTGAGGTGTTCTGAAAGTGTTTTGCTTGAGTGCCATGAATTACTTCAAAAGAAAGGGAAGAGGAGAAATGTTTCGTGAACTGCCATCCAAATACGTTATTTTCTGTCTGCATCATCACCTAGGCCTTAACAGTTGTGAGTCCTCGAGGCCTATGCAAAACCTGTTTCTTGAGTAGTGTCTTCTGTCAGCGTGTGTTCTGTCATTTCTTAAAAATTTCCATAGCTTTGAAGTCTGGTAAATAGATTTGTTGGAGAAAGAGAAATGCCTTTGCTTAAAATTTAGGAGACTATTTGGAACAAATATTCCTGGCAACAGAAAAAAATCAATGTTAAAAACTCTTAATTCTAGGGGCTGAGAAGGTGGCTCAGTGGTAGAGCGCTTGCTTTGCATGCATGAGGCCCTGGGTTCGATTCCTCAGCACCACATAAGCAGAAAAAAAAAGCCGAAAGTGGTGCTATGGCTTAAGTGGTAGAGTGCTACCCTTGAGCCGAAGAGCTGAGGGACAGCACCCAGGCCCAGAGTTCTGGCCGCACGACCGGACCCAAAAAAACAAAACAAAACACCAAAAACCTCTTCATTCTAACATATTCTGTGGGTTGTCTTATGGTAACACTCCGCTGATTGTAACAGCTGTGTAGCCCCTCATGGGAAAGGCAGCTTGACTCAAATGGGTCATGTAGGGTAAGTTAGCTTTGTCAATATCTCAGTCATTCTTTCTTAAATTAGTCATTCTGAGGTTACTCCTTGGCACAAGTGTGGCTAGTTCTATTACTAGGTAATAGAAAAAAAAAACAAGAAGTACTACCAAAGTGGAATGAGCTTGCCCTCTACTCTATGGGCCTCAAATGTTGGAGTAGAGTAAAATGTGAAAAATCTTTAAAAATTTCCAGACAAATTTCAAACACTTCTGCCTAATTAGATCAGTTTATTGCCAAACTTTAGAAAAGATCACTCATGCTTTGATCTTACTTAGTAAAAAGTTTAAATCAAGCTGGGTAAAATGGTTTACACCTGTAATTCCAGCTACTCTGAAAGTAGAGATTAGGATGATTGTGGTTTGAGACTCCACCATCTCAACAAAAATATCTGAGAATGATAGTGAAATCCTGTGAGCCCAGCCATGCAGGAGGTATACATAGAAGAACCATCGTCTAAAACTCACCCCCCAAAAAAAAACAAAAGGCCATACCTGAAAAATAACTAACACCAAAAAATTTGGCCAAAATCTTTCAAACAACAGATGTCTTCTTGATAAGTACTGTTCATTAAAGATGGCCAGGCCACAGTAAATGAGAAGCCCATTTCATAGTATAATCCTTATGTTTAACTTTTCTATGGTATATTAGCTAAATTCAGTGATAAGAGGGGTCTGTATAAATCAACCCTCAGACTAATTAAAAGATTCGGAACTGTTTGATTACACCATGCAAGTGTTTTACAGTCCCAGATGTTTGAGTGTCGTAAAAAATTTCTTGAAGTGAGACAGATGTGCAAATGGAAAAGTAATTCTTAAAATAATGAAATTTTATGGTCTTATATTGAATATGCCCTATGTAAATTAGAAGAAAATTTGAAATTATAGAACTGAATAACTGAGGAAATAAAGCCACTGGTATTCTCACTATAGAGAAATAACTGCCGAAATTAACACATTGTTCTAGCTTTTGTATATGTTCATTATACATTCTTAATTTAGGGAATTTTTTTCACCTTACATAATGTTTTGTTGTCTGCTTTTTTATTTTAACCTGACAACACATTTTAAAACAAAATATGTGCTAAGGTAGTCTTATTGAATAATATATATATATATTTATTTATTATTTACTTGTTTATTTTGTCAATTGTGGAGCTTGAACTCAGTGCCTGGGCACTGTCCCTGAGCTCTTTTGCTCAAGGCTAGCCCTCTTTCACTTTGAGCCCCAGTGCCACTTCCAATTTTCTTAGGGTTAGTTGGAGATAAAAGTCTCATGGGAAGAAAGGTAGGACAAATGGGATTGCATGAAGATGCAGAGCTTCTGCATGGCAAAGGACATAGCTAGCAAGATCAATAGAAAGCCCACAGATTGCAAGAAGATCTTCACTATCCATACAATGGACAAGGGTCTCATATCTAAAATATACCTGGAACTCAAAAAATTAAATCCCCCAACAACAAATCCTCAAAGAAACAACTGCCCAATAAATAAGTGGGCTAAAGACTTAAAGAGAAACTTCTCTGAAGAGGAAAGAAGGATGGCCAATAGACACATGAAGAAATGCTCATCCTCTCTAGCCATGAAAGAAATGCAAATCAAAACGACATTGAGATACCACTTCACCCCACTCAGAATGGCTATAATCAAAAACTCTTAATAACAACAGATGCTGGAGGGGATGTGGACAGAAGGGAACCTTACTGCATTGTTGGTGGGAGTGTAAACTTGTTCAACCACTTTGGAAAGTAGTATGGAGGTTCCTCAAAATACTCCACATAGAACTCCCTTATGACCCAGCAATCCCACTTTTGGGCATTTACTCAAATGATCACAAACAAGACCATACTAAAGCTACCAGCACAACTATGTTTATTGCAGCATTATTTACCATAGCTAAGATATAGAACCAACCTAGATGCCCCTGAGTAGATGAATGGATCATGAAAATGTGGTATATATAAACAATGGAATTCTATGCCTCCATCAGAAAGAATGACATTGCTCCATTTGTTAGGAAATTGAAAGACTTAGAAAAAATTATATGAAGTGAAGTAAGCCAGGCCCAAAGAAACATAGGTCCCATAGTTTCCCTTATTTGCAATAACTAGTATATGTCTGAGCAAGCAGAAAAGGTCAGGTAAGTTGATGTTAGGTGAAATGAACCCCAAGATAAGTATTCAAATGTTTTTGCTTTCATGCGATTGTTTCTAACATATTTATAAAATGATTTCTTTGTTGCTTTGTATGTCCCTCCCCCACAGTATAACCCCTGGCTTTCACTGTATTTGATGTCTGTATAATTTGTGGAGGGGGAGGGAAAAAACAAATCGTTTAAATAGGGATACAGGTGGACCCATTGCAACAATGAGATGTACAAATCGTTATGTTGAAAAATGAACTTTACAACTTTGCGGGGAGGTCTGGGGGGGGAGTTATGGGAAGGGATGGAAAGGGGAAACAAAGGAGGAGGCAACAATGCTTGATAAGAAATGTACTCATTATCTTGCCCATGTAATTGTAACCCCTCTGTACAGTATTTTCAAACTTAAAAAAAAAGTCTCATGGGCTTTTCTGTCCAGGCTGGCATTGAACCACAATCCTCAGGTCTCAGCCTCCTGAGTATCTAGGGATACAGACATGAGCACCAGGCCATGGTTTAAATAATATTTTGATATATCTTTGCATTAAATATTTAATGTGTGCCAGTCGCCAATAGCATTTAATCATCACGATAAGTCTGTAGGGCAGGTTGCATTAACTGTGTTTGAAGAGGCACAGAGAGGGTAAGTTACTTAAATTCTTATGGCATTTAGGTGCTGAGTTAGAATTCAATTCCATGTCTGCTTTTAACCTACTCATGCACTAGTAGCAGATACACACCACTGTATAATAATCCATTATAACATATCTTCTACTGGGGAATATCTAAGGGTTTTATAAATTTTATAAGTTTTATATAGAGAGAGAAAGACTACATATACAGATTATATATAATATATAGGCTATATGACTATATATAGTTATATATATATGACTAGTTATATATAGTCATATATACATATAGTCATATAGTCTATATATAGTCTATATAATATAGACTGTATATATAGACTATATATATATATATAGACTAAGTCTATATAGTCTCTGTATATAATATAGTCTACATACTTATAGACTGATGATATATACATAATGATATTTATCTCCAAATGATAATTTCTCTCTTTTTGTCTTACTTTAGGCCAGTTGCCATTATCTTCAAGCATACATGCTTTCTTCCCTTTAAAAATGGCTACTACGTGTTTCTCATACTCCACATTCTATATTTTGGAACAGAATATAAGTATCCTAATTGTCTCCCCCTCCATGAAATTAATTTTTCTTTCCATAACATGTTTAGTACTTTGCTTTTTATTCTTTTCAGGGGTGTATATGTGTGTGTGAGTATGTGTGTGTACACACTTAATTTTTACCTATAACTATTGGTATATTTCTTCCATAGGCTATTATAAATCATTGGAACACTATCTGTTCTGTCCATGTTCCCAGAAACAAGAGTACAATGTTTCCTGACCCAAAACAAGCACTTGATAAATGTTCAAATGAATAAATGAATGGGTGAAAAATCAGAACCTTATACCATGATAGTGTAGAAGTGTATATATCTTTAATTCTGGGGGTTCATTGAAAAGTTAATGTCATTGTTCTTTGAAGAATGTTAGTCAGGGGCTGGGAAGGTGGCTCAGTGGTAGAGCACTTGCCTTGCATGCCTGAGGCCCTGGGTTCAATTCCTTAGCACCACATAAGCAAAAAGAAAAAAGCCGGAATTGGCACTGTGGCTCAAGTGGTAGAGCACTAGTCTTGAGCTGAAGAGCTCAGGGACAGTTCCCAGGCCCAGAGTTCAGGCCCCACAACCAGACCCTTCCCCCCAAAAAAGAAGAATGTCAGTGGGAAAAATATGGGAGAAGATCATTTCAGTAAAAGGGGTAATACAAATAAATATCAAAAGAACTCAGCCCAAGGCCTCTGTAGGGGAAGGAATATGTAGTCTAGAATAATTTAAGAGAAAGTGGTTCATTAAGCCATCATTATGAAGATGGGTTAAGTCAAGGTAAATTTTGAATTTAGAGTCTGAAGTCAGGATTTTATTAGGCAATAGAAAACAAAATTATTTTATGTGTTTGCTTGTTGGTGTTTTATGAGTAATTTTTTCTTTTCTCCTTCCACTTTCCTTCTTTTTTTTGAAAAGGAGGTAAGATAAAGGAGTAACAGCACCAGAGTTAAACTTTATCAACAATAACATGATAGAACTTAATTAGATAAATTTTGTTAATCAATTGATAATATTTTAAAAATAAAGATCATGCTAACACATGTCACATACCCCCAGACTTCAGTAGTCTACCACCACAAACATCTGTTTTTCCCTCATTCTGCATTCTAATCTGGATGTTCTGGTGGGTAGTGACTTTTCCTCCCATACATCTGAGGGTCTTAAGCTTCTTCCACATGTGACTGCACTTCCTTAGGACCTTTGTGCCTTCTGCTGCATTGAGTCAATGGAAGGGGAAAGAGACTAGAGGTAATGCCTATCTAATTCTTAGCTATCTTTATCTACAAATGCTCTCTTTTATATCTGTGCCATTGCTGAGAACTAGTCACATAGATGCAAAAGGTGCTGAGAAATGTAGTCTTAGCAACTATCCTAGGATTAGGGATTACAAATTAATAACTACACATCAGTAATTACAAATCACTAATCTTTGGGGATTAAAATTAGTGGTGAGTAGAGCCATTTCAGTCACTGGTTTTAAAATACAACATTAGAATGGGAGACTCAAAGTAGTTACAACAAGTGTAAGTAAGCAGAAATTCAGGGTAGAGACAGAAAGAATGACTAAGAGGGATGAACAATAGGGATTGTTCATGGCCACATTTCTGAAGTAATTCCAAATCAAATATAAATCGAGTAAGAATTTCAGAAAAATTTGTGAGCTGAATTCATCTATTTTTAAACTAGCACGACTTCTCACTTCTCCAGGTAGTATTTTGTGTTCTTACAAACAATTCTTGGTCAGCCCTCAATCCATTTAGGTCAAGCAATTCACCAAGCTGAGCTAGTGGTTAGGGAAGCTTTGAGAATAACTCGTCTGTATCACTATAATCCCACGTTCCTTTCCTAAAGACAGATGAGAACAAAAATGACCCATATATTCACCTTGATTTTCCAAGAGTTGATTTATACCTCACTGTCCTCCCTAGAGGTCTTAAATACAGGGTTTATAAAACATAACAGTCTTATTTGGTTCTCAGAGAAACTCCAATAATATTATGTTCATCTTTTTCACTGGTTTATATGAGGATGAATAAGAACAATTATGAAGTGCCTTTCTGAAGAAATAATTACATGATGAGAAGAGCTTGGGTGGCTTCTTCTCCCAACCCCTTCTACTTTTATTGCAGTAAGTTTTGGGATTTTAATTGGCAAGATTTTTATTTTCTTGAATTTCCTAGTTAATGTGACTATGCGATGACACGATTAATAAACTTTGCCTCTGGACCCTTATTTTTCTAATGACTAAGATTAAGGATAGTGGTTTTTCATTAGCTAAATCAAAAAGTAAAGAAAAAAAGGGGATGAAGGAAAAAAAGTCAGACCTCAACTAAGATAGACTGATCAAAGTGAACTATTCATAATTTAACAAGAACCCTGACAGAAAAGAATAGGAAGTGGTCAGAGAGAAACTTCAAAGTATTTTCCTGAATGTCTGGCCTGGCTGTTTCGATAGTACTGTTTGACATTGTAAAGACAGTGACTAGCAGAGAGATTCATGGTGACTAAGAAGGAAAACCAAAGCCTCTGACATGACTGGCCAGCAGGGCTAGCAGGCAGTATCTCTGCTCTGTTTATAGTTCCTGTGTCCTGACAGGATGTCCCCGAGGATTCAAGGCCAATAGGGTCTTCCTGTAGTGAGGATGTGGCTGTCAGAAGACTTGAGTCCTTTTCAAATCACACAGGGTGGGAGAGCCAACATGAATTTAATAATTGGAGTGGGGCATTTGCTTGCTTCTCATAAACAAAATTCATCTTGGGTTATTATGTTTTACATGAGGAATTGTGAATAAAAGCTTTAATCTTATAGAAGCCTCTTCCTTAGCAGTTGCTCAGGATTTCCTTCTGATCTATATTCCAGTGATTCCCCACATTTGACTACAAAGTTCTTTCACAAAGTCTTATTCATTCATTTTATCTTCAAAGTGAAGGCCAGGCCGGGTATCATTAGTTCTGTTTTACTGATATGGTGACAGTGGGAGGTGGAGAGTTGCTAAGTAACATCCAACAGATCATCCAATTTAGCTACTTGGTCCAGTCTGCTCTCCTTCCATTTTTATAAACACAGGTAGCTTACCACTGCTAGGAAGGGGGGAAATAGACTGATTTGGATTTGATATTCTTTCTATTGCCTAGGGTGCCAAGGCTGTTGAATAGTATTTGTCCAAAAGGCGGGCTGCAGGGGAGAACAAGACATTGGGGATCTGGATAATTGGCACCTGAAGAAGCTGCCTTTGGCTGCCTGTGCACACTGTTTTTGCAGCTCTCAGAGAGGAAATTCCCTACCAATAATTCTTAAATTACTACTAGCACAACTGGAAAGAAAACAAGAACAGAAAAAACCCAATATTCTCCACAGTATTTGATTCTAGAAGTGCATTTAGGAATATAAACACCAAAGAAAAATACATGCTTGTGCATTAAGAATAAATCAATCTAGGGCTCATTTTTCCCCTAATATTTCTGAGGATCAGACAGGCCTGGGTTAAAACTTAGACCCTTCCACATATGAGCTCTGTAATCTTAGCCAAATGATGTATACATTGATTCATACATTTAGGACAATTATAGAGCTTTACCAACTGACTATGGGATTTAAAAGACATAGTGCACATAATACACCTGGCCCAATTATTATCATCATTGACATTTAACACAACTTGTTCACCCTGTCAGACCCCAGTACCATCCTCTGGTTAACTAGACTCACTGACTAGGGGATTTCCCCAATAGCATCTGGTAGTGTTAGTGCTCTTTCATTAACAAATATGCATCTCTTCTCTTGGACCTTCCTAGAATACTGTACCCTGTTATGGAAATGCTAGTTGCTCTATAAGACATTTCTGAGGGCTGGGAAGGTGGCTCAGTGGTAGAGCGCTTGCCTTGCATGCATGAGGCCCTGGGTTCAATACTTCAGCACCACATAAGCAAAAAGAAAAAAAAACGGAAGTGGCGCTGTGGCTCAAGTGGTAGAGCGCTAGCCTTGAGCTGAAGAGCTGAGGGACAGCGCCCAGGCCCAGAGTTCAGGCCCCACGACCGGACCCCCCCACCCCCACAAAAAAAAAAGACATTTCTGAAATAGTATTCAGTTTCTAGCACTGCCCTTATTCCACTTTGTCCTTTGTTACTGAGGACTTGGAAGTCAGTGGAAATGTCAATGGAAAAAAGGTCTGTAGGAGGAGAGGAATAGAAGTGAGGCCTGTGGAAAAAGGTATGCTCTGGGAATAGTAGGAACTTATGACTCCAATTGGACTAGATGAGATTTCTTCTATTTATTATTCATATCCTTGATGTAAATCGAGAAAATGCTATGACATTCATAGGATTCATAGTGGAAAAATAGTATTAATAATATATATTGACATGAGACTCAGCAAATACTGAATCTTCTCCTTCCTTCCTGTACACTGATGACATTAATGAGACTCAAAATATTTATGGATTTTCTCTTCCCATACAGCTATAATGTCTAGACTTAAACCAATGTGCTTACCTTTGCAATACCTAAGCCGTGTTCATACATATATGCCAGATTGAACATGGCTTGTGCACTGTGATATTTGTCAGCTGCAATGCTGTAATGTGTAGCTGCTGTTTGATAGTCTTTCTTAGTCCCATAGCCATAGTAATGGTAATCTCCAATTTTTACTCTAGCAAATGCATTTCCTGGAGAAATATTAGAAAGAGAAGAAGAATTGTAACTCAAGTGATTCATATCTAAGTGATTCAGTCTAATGGTCTGTAAAAAAAGACAAAGAAAAGTGGAGGGAGTGGAGGAAAAGGAAGAGAGTAAACAAGTGAAGAAAGGAAGGCGGAGAATGCAGTCATAATGTTCAATGTACATCCTATGAAACGAAGAAAGTTGATGGGAGTGGTGGGGTTGGGAGGGATGAGGAGATTGAAGAAAGGGGTGGCATCATCAAGATGCATTGTATTTATAAATTAATTTGTTAAATGGTAACTTCATACAGCTACTTAAAGATAATAAAAATATAATTAAAAATTATATATATATATAATTACACACATTCTGAAGTTTATATATGAATAATTATACAATTTTACCTTTTAAATTCATTTCTTTTGTTGTCAGTTATGGGGCTTGAACTCAGGGCGTAGGTGCTGTCCCTAGCTCAAGGCTAGTGCTCTACCACAGTGCCACTTCTGGTTTTCTAGTGGTTAATTGGAAATAAGAGTCTTACAGACTTTATTGCCTGTGTTTGCCTTGGACCATGATCCTCAGATCTCAGCCTCCTGAGTAGTTAGGATTAGATGTGTGATCCACCAATGCCCAGCCTTAAATTCATATCACTCCTGGAGACTGATTTCCTTTCCTCCCATTCTTAAGACTCATTATTGCAGCTCTACTCTTCTACATCACCAGCATCTTCTGTCCCAAATCAACCCCATTAGCTATTCACACTCAACCTTTTTAAAAGTATGTTGTGCACTCACTATCTCCAGAGCTTTATTTCTCACTTTTGGTCTCAGCCTTTTGACTGAAAGTCACCTTTCTCTTAGAGATGACTTCTAAGAGGAAGGGAGGCCCAGGTTTTTGTTTGTGAAAGAAAGATTGAGTGTGCTTGGTGTGGTGGCTCATGCCTGTAATCCCAGCTACACAGGAGGCAGAGGCAGGAGGGTTAAATCTTTAGACCAAACTCCAGCCAAAAGCATAAGAACTTAACTAAAAAATGACCAAACCAGAAAGGGCTGGTGGTGTGGTTCAGGTGGTAGAGTGCTTGCATAACCTTGAATTCAAACCCCAGTACTAAGATAGATAGATAGATAGATAGATAGATAGATAGATAGATAGATAGATAGATAGATAGATAGATAGATGTTAAAAAGATGAAAGATAACTCATCTAAGACATCCAGCCTTAGCTGTAACCAATCCACAGTCTAGGAGTCTTTGGAAAAGAGGAAGTACTGAGTATGGGCAGTCTGGATGTGTCATTAGTGATATAGGACTAGTTCCCAAACTTTCACCCCATTTAACCTAGTGGTGCCTAAAATCCTTTGGAATATATTCCTTTGCATAATAGAGTTATTTTCACCTTGTAGAATTCCCTATCAAAATGAAGATTCCTCTAAGAAAGGTAATGTCATTGCCCTACAGTGTTACATGAATAGAGCTAATTTTATAACATTCTTACATGGATGAGGTCCTGGAGAACTGACCCCAAGAGAGGGTTCTGCAGAGGCCGGGAGAGACTAGAGATCCATAAAGCCTTAACGAGAAACACACTGCATCTCTAATTTTACCTAAACCCATCCTTCTTTGACTCAAGGAGTCATAACTCTACAAGAACAGGGCACTTCCGTGCATTTTCGAGCTTTACAAGCCGAATATAGGATTCCTGAAGTCTTTGAGAATAGAGGGCAGTGAACAAGCTGGTTTTTAGAAGATTCAGTTCAACTCTAAGGAGGGGAACTAAACCTGACAGGCTGTGTGGGGATTGGTTGACAGTAGAAGGACTCCTACTTTAATTTCACAGTTACAAGACAGATACTGCGTACTGATAGATCAACACCCTCTTCACATGAAGCAACTGCTAAAAGAGACCAATAGTGAGTGACTAGCTGGAAAATTCCATTATTAGGTTTCCTGACCCCAAAAGATCTACTAAGCAGCCATATCTTTGGAGACACTTATACCCAACCTCTCTTGTGACACATAATTATTTTTAGCACAGTGACTTTTTTTTTTAGATTGAGGGAATTCTGTTTAATATTCATTTTTTCTCATTTTCAATTTCTCTTTTTTCCTTGATCCAATTTCCACACCATTTCCTAGTTTGAAATAAACACGCATTCGTCGCAACTGAGCTGATTTGCCATGGCTGAGAGATTGCTGGTGTTGTTTTTCTCATTCCAAATAAAGTCGTCATTGCATTTTAGAAAACAGAATTTCTCACTAAAATTGCAGTGATGGCTTGCTGCTGCTTTATCAGCTCAGCTGGATCTGAGAAGGCACCACTGTGGCTTTTTCCTCTGCCTCATATTAGCATAGGTTGAAAATCATTTTTATCCTATTCACTTCCTGTTTAAAAGGATGATTTGGCCATTGCATGATTTTTATAAAACGTAATTGGAAGTAAAATTGCTCTTATTACGCGAGCTCCTCACATATCCAAAAGCCAATTCTGACAGCTTTGCAACATCTCCCTGCTCTTAATACTGTAATTTTAGGGGGAAATTTGGGAGAAGCATAGTAATATAAATGCCACCTGTCAATGCTATTCCTGGTAACACTATTTTATATTCTTTACCACATCTGAAGTCAATGCACAGGAATGACATGAGAACTCCAGGCAAGGGAAAGGATCTTGCCATTCATCTTTACTTTGAATTGTTTTAATTCTAACGTGTTAATGGCTATAGTAAAGATCTGAACTTTGTTGTAATCATCAATATAATATTTTTCAAAGAGAAATCAATGAAGTCTTAGATACATAACTAATTTTGCCCATAAACTCAGAGACATAGGTCATGTCAATGATTAATTCCATAAACAACTCAGCAAATGAGTGACTGAAGCCAGACTAAGAAAATTGTTTTCTTGTGTAAAATTATCATGTTTTAAACAACAGCTCTGGTGCCATGGAGACTGAGCCATAGAAAATTTCCTAAGATTTGCAAAACCAAGGGACTTTGAGAATAATGATTATGGAAATGACCCCTAACATCAATATGGTTTGAAGTGCCACCTACCTGATATTCTGTACCTTTATACCTATACGCCCAAGAACATAGCTGAACCAGATTAAGTGATTAGTCAGGGAGCAGGTTTGTGTTTATTTTTAATCTAGGTTTTATACCTTGAACAGCAGCTCGATTCCATAAGAGAAGTGCCATTGGATACATCTTCTCTTTCTCAAGAATGTTTGCCTTTTCTGAAAAACAAGGAAACATTCCATTAAGAAGGCTAAACGTGCCTTTATAGTAAAGTCATTATATGCATCTGTATGATTGGGGAATTGCAGAGAATTTTAACTTATCTTACTAGATTCCAAAATGAATGCTGAATTGCTCTGAGCTACTTCATACCCCATTTCTGCAAGCATTGCATACTGAACAAGAGAAGAATCTATATCACCATCCTTATAGGCAAAGTAAGCTGTCAGGAATTTTTCAGCCCAGTGGCCTAGTTCACAGACACCTTTATAAAGCTGTATAATGGAAGAGAAATCAAGCACACTAAGTTAGTCAAGATACTTAATCCCAGGCAAATGATGGATGAAATCATTCTGAAGCATCTCCAGGCTAGTCAGACAAGAATTTTAAATTTAATGCATGCTCTTTACAAATTATCTGGGGGTAAAGAGTTAATACTTTTCCTAGGCACAAAGATTTCAATTGTATTTTTCCTTTTTAATTAAAAATTTTCTTTGTCTTCAGCAGAATTTCTTCAGGGGGATTTAAAATTTGTATAATAACCTTTCCTGGCTTGGAGATTTTTCTTGACAAGAATGTAAGGATTGTGTTTGTTATTGTTGTTGTTCTTGTTTTACAGGGCTTATCTTGGCATTGCTGTGCTGTGTGGGCAAATTACAAGGCTATGGCTGATGTGGAAAGGACAGAAGAAGGGAAGATAGTGCCTAAGGGAAAAGGTGACATAATCGCAAGGGAGGTATGCAGAGTTCTATGGGGACAAATGTCAACTTAGCTGAATAGCCTTTATGTAACCAAAAGAGGTTAGCCATACATAATTCATTAGGAAGTTGGCAAAGGAACAAATCTAAAGATAGATTATTAGCTGGCAGCTTTTAAAATGAGCTTCAGAGGGACTGCAGCTTGGAAGTATTTATATTGGTGTAGCAGAGGGGACACATTTCATAAATCAATGAAGGGCATTAAGGTCCCAAAAGCATTCTTTTGAAAAGTATACTACTGGCTTATGCTGAAAGAATACACTATCAATTGTCATCCAAATCATTAAAAAAAAAAACAACCCTAAGGACCCTGCTTTCTGGAAAGAAATGGGCCACATTTTCTAGGCTAAATCAAGCCATTCGTTTCCCAAGTAGCAACTCCTAATCCAACTAAAAGTGCCAAATTGCCCTGGTGATGTGATTGAAGACTGAAACAGAGCTCCTTCACTGAATTATGAGGCAAGCTCTGAATGGGATAAAAAGCTCAATGCAGCAGAGGAGGGATCATTTCTCTTTCCTCCTGTTCCTAATCCAAGTCACATCACTATTTTTCTTCTATGGAATATGTTGGTGTTTATGCTGTCAACTGGAAGAAAAAAGGTAATAGCCAGAAAAATCAAAGGCACCAACACAGTAAGGACAGTATCACCTCCTGTGTGGGACAAATGGAAAGAGCTCTCAAAGCAGTCCAGCATTTACCTCCACAGCAGTTCTGCATGATCTCAACACTCCCGTTCCTGTGGCATACATCTCCGCCAGGTAATAAATGGCAAGAGGCTGCCCACTCTGAGAGGCCAAGTAAAAATATTTGAAGGCCAGTTTATAATCCTTCCACACTCCAGAGCCAGCTGAAAATGAAAATATTTATGAGCCACATTTGTTTCATTAGTGGATATTATACTCTATGGATATAATGGTCATAGTGATGCCTGCTATCTTAAATAGGATAGGAAAAGAAAAACAATCAAATATCATGCTTCAAGGCTACTATGAGAACAAAAATATGGATGCTCATTTGGGCAACTAATAAAGTAGAACCATTTATCTTATCTACTTTCTTGCTTTCAGTTTACAACCTCATCCACTGCCATCTGGCTTCCATTCCAGCCAGTCCAATACTTTTACCAACATTGTCACATTGATATATCCCAAGCATGCTCAGTTTTTCTTCTTATTTTGTTGTTGTTGTTGTTAAAACTAGGCTTTTCATTGCATTTCACTAAAGTGCTGTTCGTTCATTGAGTCTTTCTGGAGGTCTCCACACTCTTTTTGTTCTTTTAATTCCCTTCTAGAATTCTATACTCTGTTCCTATGTATGACCATGCCTTTTCTTACCTCTTGGTGAGTACTTCCTCCTTGGCCTATTGAAAGATTAAATAGACTTTGCCAGAAAATCACGCAGACATCCAGGTACGGAGAACAACAGGTACAGAGAACAAAGGAAAGTTTATTACTGGGAAAGGGGCCGGCAAGACTCCTTCTCACAAGGGAGAAGTGGGAAGAAGCACTGGCTATTGTCTGAGGTGACCTAAAGAACCTATTAGGAGGGGCTAGGAAGTGGAGACCCTGGTGTGGATGCACTAGGATTTATAGCTGCTATCTAAATAGTAAATAAGGGGTCCCTGCAGCTGCCTGGACCTGAAGGTCACTCTAAGGGGCTCTTGTTGCCTTATATGGTGGTAGCTGCCCCAGAGAAGTGCCATCCCAAGGTAAAGGGAGTTGGATTATTTACTGCCTTTACTACATGGGCCTAGTGTTGCCTAGGAAGGGAGCATGCTAAGATGTGGAGAAGGGAAGAAGTGGACTAAGCTATGGGAAGGGAGCTCATTTTTGCTAAGACCTATCCTTTCAACAGATTACCACATTTCTGGTCATAGCTCATCTTTCCTTTCTCTCATACACATTTCCTTCCTTTCACAATTTCAGTTACTCTTAACTCACATTGATGTTGATGACTCCTATGTCCTTCTCTCCAACATTGACCTTTTTTTGTGAGGTTCATGGTTACTTGTAGGTATGTGTGTGATACCACATTGGATATCATCTCAAACTTAACCTTGTCACTGATGAGCTTTTGACTTTGTGCTTTCCCCCTCCCCCAATTGATACCCTTTCCTCAAGTCTTCCTCAAACCTTCCTCAACTTGCTGCATGAATGCTCAAGCACTCACCTCAACCCTTTTATTTGTGATATAAAAGTAGCAGATTTAATAATGCATATGTAAGTCTAAATAAAGCAGTAATATTTATAGTACCTACAGTAGTACATGAAGCCTAACTGGAACTGTGCATTAGGCCATCCTTTCTCTGCAGCTTTCTGAAAGTATTTAAGTGCTTCGGCATAATTCTGAAAGATAATTACATTCTATTATTCAAAGCTATATGTACAACTCCATGGTAACAATTATCTTTCACTTTTTAAGGAGAATAAAACCAGTGCCTCATAGGCTAATTAAAATAGCATCAGAAATAAAATATATTTTGTTTCATTATTACATTAGAGTCTATTAAAATTAGTTAACTCACATCCACTATAAATTATATATCTTCCACATTGATAGCAAATTTTGTTAGATATTAAGAGAAGGTCACTTAAAAGACAAACTAAGCTAAGAAGATAAATTTTTCTCTCAATAAAGTCCTCAAGGAACTGATATTTTGAAAGCTATGTAGAATCTATGATTCCGAAATACAATTAGGGTTTCTATTCTTGTCACAAGGCTTGTGATTCTTTGTCTCTTTAATGAAGATTTTACTAAATTATTTTATTCTCTATTACCAAATCTAATAATGTAGCCAAGCAGGCAATAGAGACTAATTCCTATAAGTTAATGCATGATAAAATTTACCTTATAAATTACTAGAAATATGTTGAAAGGATAGTAAAATTTTTTAACTTACCACAGGGATACCTTTTCCATGAAAGTGAAGGAGACCAAGGCCATAAAGACCAATTGCATTGCCCTAGAAGAATTTTTAAAATCCAAGTAAAATTTCAGAGAAAATTCATGATAAGGAAAATCACCACAAAATTATTCAGTATATTTGAAATGCACCCAGCAAGAGATTAATGAAGACATGTTAATCAAGCAGTCGGAAGGTTATTCTGACCTATCTAACTTGTCCTTTACTATCTTTATAACCTCCCTTAAATATGAAAGAGGGAAATGAAAGTCAAATGTTTACTCCATTTCTTACTACTTATTTAATACTTGCTTTGGGTGTGATTCTAAGAGTGGTACTGGGGTGAATGAAGTATGATTGCGAAAAGTTTATAGGCCAGTGGGCCCTGAGCCATTTCAAATGTGTGGGTCACATTTCTTTGTCATGTTAAATGTGGTTAGTTGTGGATATCTACAAGAGAGACACTGAACTGTGTGGTTGAGAGTAGGGAGCTGAAAAGAACTCTTAGCAGGAGGGTAACATTTAAGCTTGGTTTCAAAAGGACAAATCAGTTTATCAGTGGGGGAAAGTCTATCTAGACAGTTCCTACCTACTTTAGTCAAGGAGGTAAATGACATAAATGGCCAAATGACATTTCAGGGACTCTGAATCTCAACCCAGCCACTATAGATAATAAAGCATTCTTGGAATGTTTCTTTATTCAGTTTTGACCACCTATAATATCACCAAAGTTTTCTTATCATGTGGCTAAGTAATTATCATTTGTTTTCTGAATATATTCTCAATACTCTAAGAAGTGAATATTTAGTCTATGTAGTACTAGACGATAATGCTTAATTAGCATATGCTCAAATATATTAATTTTAGCATATCAATCCTGGATGAAGAGTGAATCTTGTAAGTGACTTCCTAGCTAGACAACTCTTTTCTTTCCATCTCTCTCAAGTAATTTTCCCTCTGGAGACTGTGAAAAGCCAAGTCTTGGTCACTTAGCTTTCTTTTATCAGGTTTATTTGATAGATTTATGGCATTTCTTTGTGATCTTGGAGAGGAGGGAAGGAAGAAAGGTGAGGAGAATGTTGCAATAGCTGTGACAAATTGCTTTTCTTCTCTGAAAAGCCAGAGGCTCATTAGCTGTTTTAGTCTAAAAGTACCATGTTCAGAATTTCGGTGACCAACCCAGGTGTCTCCAGGTACTACACTAATAAGCTATGGAGTACATTAAGCAGATGATGGGGAAAGGAAAGGAGGTAAGACAAAATAGAGCCTATCTTTTCAGTCTAAAGACAGCAGCAGCTACTCAGCTACTTTGCTCCCCACAGTTTTTGCCACAAGGAGGGCTATCCTATGTGGTCAGCACTTGCTCTTTTCCAAGAAAAGCTAAATGTCTATATTCTTTCCTCCTCTGCCCCCTCCCCCACCACTCCCATCAGTTGTCATGAGCTGCAAGGTTTAAGGGAGGCTCATCTCATACAGTAGTGTGAAAACCCAACCATTACACTTAGGAACCACAAAATGATAAGAATAAAGAAGCCCTCTTGTGCTATTAATACATGTAACAAGCAAACAAAGGAAATAAAAAAGGAGCTTAATGTTCAAATTCTGGTGTAAAGTTTACTGATTTTTTTTTTTGTCTGAGACTGGGACTTGAACTTGGTATCTGATGCTTTTGCTCATTGGCTAGTGTTCTACCACCTGAGCCATACATCCAACCTCAAGTTTACTGTTTTATTTCTTCTTTCTTTTCTTTTCCTAATTTTTTGTTATTATTAAGGTGATATACACAGAGATGACCATTTCATAAGTGAGGTAATGAGTACATTTCTTTTGTGGGCAATATCACTCCTTCTTTCAAAGTTTACTGATTTTTAAAACACTTTTAATAACATGTAAGTTGCAAGGCTGGGTTCCTGTGGCTCACATGTGTAATCCTAGCTACTTAGGAGCCTGAGATCTGAGAAAAGTGATTCAAAGCCAGCCCATGCAGGAAAGTCTATGAGACTTATCTCTAATTAAGCACCAAAAAAGCTGGGATTGGAGCTGTGGCTCAAGTGGAAGGGCACTAGTCTTGAGCAAAAAAAAGCTCAGGAACAACATCTAGACCTTGTTTCAATCCCCAGCGCGTGCGTGCACACACACACACACAACAAAACAAACAAAAAACATGCATGTTGCCATGTTCTCATGTTATAATTTCCACATTAAGGCTGAATGCTCTCAATCAAGTTAACTGACATGAAGCTAGGGGGCAGATGATCATTTGTTTCACAAATATTTAATGTACCTTCCTGGTTATGGACTAGGAGCTTGTCCTCCTTATGACCTCCAGACAGTAGGAGAGAAACTAGAAGTAGAAAACTGCAGATTCCCCTGAGTAGAGAGAGAATATAAGGAAGGAAGAAATTTTAAGCCAAGAGGAATGGGGAGAGAAAGAGTACTGTACTTGGCTTTGGAGATAAGTAGGCCTTGGAATGGGGGACTCTGGGAAGAGTGGCTTTGACAAAAGTGCAAAGATGGGGGGATTGGCCTGACTTGTTCAGTCTGATATAGAGAAACAGAGTGTATGGTCCAGCATGGTACACTATAGACTCACTGCCAAATTACATGTTTATGAGTCAATAAGACAAAGGGATTGTAAAATCTATAGCTTAATGTCCTAGTCCTAATATATCTTTACAAATGGAAAAAGCAGTATTTTTTAAAGTAGTAAAACAAATTATCCAGGCAATGACCAAGGAGTATGTGATTGTACCCATGTATCAGAATAATTACATTCAGGGAAATTTTAGATTTCTCTCATAAAGAAAGGAAACTGAGCTTTAGAACAGGAGCAAATTCAGATCACTGTTACTTACACATTCCTAAATAGCTGGGGAGCAGAGTTAACTTACTCACCCAACTTCCTGGTATTATTCCCTTGGGCTGACAGATCAGTGTGATTTGCCATATTATAAGAGATCATTCTGTTACCTCTTTTTCAATCTGTTCTCCCTGGTTGTCCTTCTAATATAATGGGACTCTGTTAAACTGTCTTGCTGAGCAACAATTTCATAAAATTACAAGGGAGAGGAGTCCAGTACTAGCTTTCTCAGTAATTTACACCATAAGAACAGCAGCTACAAGCTGAGCTTCTCATCCTTTGTAAATAGACTACTAAAGCAGTGCATATAGGCTTTTAAAAACTGAGAACAGTGAAGAATGTTCTTGATTTAAACACATCTTTACTGTCGGCATTGCATTATAAAATTATAATGCAACGAAATGCGTCCTGCTATATGGGAATAGAACGTTTACCAGGGCTACTTGCCAAGATTAAACTGATGGATGTTGGGGATGAGAATGTATTTTATGATATGAGAGTTTCAGAGTAGGCTGGGCGCCCATTGCTCATGCCTGTAATCCTAACTACTCAGGAAGCTGAGATCTGAGGATTGTGGTTCAAAGCCAGACTGGGCACGAAAGTCCACGAAAATCTTATCTCCAATAAACCACTCAGAAAAATGCAAAAGTGGTGTGTGGCTCAAGTAGTAGTGCACTAGCCTTGAACACAAAGAGGTTCAAAGACAGTGCCCAGTCCCCGAGTTCAAGTCCCAAGACTGGCAAAAACACTTTTTTCAGAGTAAATCTACCGTCTCTTGTCTGACAGATACCAGCCTCTGAACTTAGGAACAAAAGGCAAAGATTTCAACAATGGAAACAAGTCATAGTCGTCCCTTGGTGTCTTGAGGGGACCAGCCCCAAGATTTCCAAAGTAGAGTGCCAAAATACTCCAGTCTCTTATGTAGAATGGCATAAATACACATATAATCAATGTACATCCTCCTAACTATAGATAACTTATAATACCTAATATAATAATGAATGCTGTATAAATAGCATTGCTCTATTTTGCTTAAGGAATAATAACAAAGCAAATCTGTATATATTTAGTACAGATACTGAAATAAGGATACTGGGTCTAAGTAATATCATCTTGTTCTCACAGCCATCTTGGTGTCTTGCTGGGTGATAGAGGCTTTCCACCCAGCTCTGAAAGGCCTAGAGCTGAGATAGGCTGTTCTTTAAAATGCAGATGTTATTATGTTTGGCCCCAGGAAAGCTTTGCTATAGAGAATGCTTATCCTTGATTATTTTCCTATATGGTTTGCTTTGTGTGCCCCCAAGTACTCCTCTACATGGTCTGCTTTTGTTGGGTTGGATCTCCATCCCAAACATGGGGTATTTGTCTTTAAAAGCTTTGTGCAAGCTACATTTTGGGTTGTAGGTCTTTGAGACAGGAGTCCATCTGCAGTCGCCGGCTTTCTAATAAAGACACCCAGTTTAACATCTCAAAATGGAGCTTCTCTTGCTGGGTACCTGTGGCTCACCCCTGTAATCCTAGCTATTCAGGAAGCTGAGGTCTGAGGATCACAGTTCAAAGCCAGCCTGGGCAAGAAAGTCCATGAGACTCTTTCTCAAAGCAATTGAATCTTCGAAGTCACTGTATCTCACTGATCTCAGACTTCAAATGATCACAGCTGATATACAAGGACTTCCTGTGTTTAGAGTTTTAAGTATTTCACAATATAAGGAACTTATTAACTCCTTAAATCCTGCCTGACATGACACTATCCAGTAAATCTTACATTCCCATTTTATAAATAGAGAAGTGAAAACACAGAAAGGTCAACTAAGTCTATGGTCACACAGTAAGTTGCAGAGCTAGAATTTAACTAGAATTTAACTCTGTCTCCACAGCAATCTATATCTATATCTATCTATATATATATTTAATATCATCTTGCCCTGACCATCTAATTTGACAACTTCCTTCCTGGGCTAGAGGAGCTCTGGCTTTTGGGTAGGATACTACAGAGGAGAAAAATTGACATTTCTTGGTTTTGTTTGTCCTGAGCTTACTGTGGCTATTGATTGAGTTTTCCCTTCCTCTGTCCTCATCTATTTTAGTTTTTGTTCCTAGGCTAGATGGCTTCATCTACCGCACAGAGAAGACAGCTGAGCTTCTGTCTGGACTTCTGCCCGCCCCTGTGAGGGCAGCATAAGTCACCATCCTTTATTATCAAGAAGGCAAGTCCTAGCTCTCTCACCCCAACCGAGTGTTTCATTTTCAAGGATATTTCTCCAGGATATAAAATTCCTACAGGCCCACTATCTGGACTTGGGACATTGAAATTAATTCTTGAGTAGCAGTTACATGTAATAAAAACCAATTGGTGTGTGTTTGTGTGTATTTAGAGCAGTGATGTGAAGACATACCTTATCAGCTGCCATGGAAAAATATTTGAAGGCAGTAGCATTGTTTTGTGGTGCTGCCGCATTCCCTTCTAAATACATCTGGAGAAAACAAATGAAAAGGACGTGTAAACACAAGAATTTGATGGTATGACAATAATTTAAAACTAGAGGTAACAAGTGGGAAACACGGTGAATGTAGCAATTCTCACCTAAGTATACATTGAAATACTTTTAAGTTATGTGAATTTTACCTCAGTTAAAAAATAAAACCCAATGAATTAAAAAAAAAACCACAAACTAAGGGTACCCTCTACTTCATATAGCTCAGAATGACCTTGTCCAAGAAATGGACCCCATTTGTTTTCTCATGTTTCTGGTGACTACATTATTTGATGTAGCACCTGTGAAAGCTGGGGGCTCATCCCCATGGTTACTAAGGCAACTTGATTGCAGAGGGTCAAGGGCAACACTGGAATGGGGAGAGAGTGGTCTGAGAAGGACAGAGAGCATCTTTCTCTAAAGGCCTCAGAGGACATTATTTTAGAGGAGGCATAAGAAAAACCTTGGAAAGAACAGAGCTGTTTCTTTTCCCAGGAGTGGAAGAAAGAGACCCTTGGTTGGTCCGAGACCTGTATCAGTCTTCAATGATCAAATAACCTGGATTTCCTTGTCTGAGCTGGGGTGGTTCACGAGCTCATAGATTTACCTAGTAGAGGAGCCTGGGCCAGGTGCATTTTCTCTGTCTCTGTCTCTGTCTCTGTCTGTCTGTCTGTCTGTCTGTCTGTCTATCTGTCTGTCTGTCTGTCTGTCTATCTGTCTGTCTTTCTCTCTTTCTTTTTCATCTTTTTTTCCCCATGTTGGTCCTGGGGCTTGAATTCAGGGACTGGCCACTAGCTTTTTGGTGATTAATTGGAGATAAGATTCTCACGGACTTTCCTGCTTGAGCTGGCTTCTAACCATAATCCTTAGATCTCAGTCTCCTGAGTAGCTAGGATTACAGGTGTGAGCCACTGGCCCCTGGCTTCTTTCTTTCTTTTTAAAAAATTATACAAACGAGTTTCAATTCAACTTGCCAGTTTATCAGTACAACGCAGAGGTGCTTACAAGGTTGCTTTTGTGTCTCTGATCAAGTCTGATGCTATGTAGGACTTCTTCCAACTTGTCATCTCAAGAATATTACTCTCACTGGGCACCAGTGGCTCATGCCTATAATCCTAGCTACTCAGGAAGCTGAGATATGAGGATTGCTGTTGGATGCTAGCCCAGGCAGGAAAGTCCATGAGACTCTTATCTCTAGTTAAGTACCAGAAAACCAGAAGTGGTGCCATGGTCAAAGTGCTAGAGTGCTAGCCTTGAGTGAAAAAGCTCAGGAGCAGTACCTAGACCCTAAGTTCAAGCTCCACGGCTAACAAAAAAAGAATACCATCCAGTTTCTACCAAATGCCTCTTGAGCTGCTACTATGAACCAGGCCTATGGACCTGTCATACCACATGCTGAATTCAATCAGCTGGTACCATTCTTAGGTGCTTTCTCTTCCTTCTTTTTTCCCTCGTTCTTTTTCTCCTTCCTTTCCTTTCCTCCCCCACCCTCTGTGTGTGTGTGTGTGTGTGTGTGTGTGTGTGTGAACTCAAGGCCTCAGATATGCTATGCAAACAGCTCTGCCTTTGAGCTATATCCTTAGCCTATTAGGTCTTTAAGAAATGAAAAGTATTGATCAACTTAAACATGTACCTTTCCTATAAATGCCATGGCATTTGCACTCCCAGCCTTTGCTGCCTTTAAGAAATAGTATAATGCTTTCTGGAGAGAAAAAGAAAGAAATAGCATTATTGCCAGTCACAAGTTAATTCTATGAAATGACTTATTGAATCAAACTTTATTCTTTCAATATGCATTCAAAAATATCTACAAAATGCCTACTTTGTTCAAGGCGTGATTCCAAGTACTATTTAAACCAAAAACCTGAAGAGTGGGAGTATATGTATATATACAGATCACACACACAATTTTAGAATGTGAACACTTATTTCTACCAGTTGGACATGCAAGATAGACATAAGGATTTGTAGTGAGAGAGGAACCTTGGTTTCAGAGTTAAATAGCCTATTATTTTGAAACAGTGGGCTTCTCTGTTAACACTGTGTATTTACTGTTACAGTTAGCAAAGTCTTAATGTTTATGTGACAGGGTAAGAACAAGCACCCTGACTGCCTGGTGAAACCTGCGAAGGAGAACTTTTAATTTCTTCTAAATAAAATAGGAGTTGGGCAAAACCTCTGACTTCATCTAACTTATAACACAAAGTCATATAACAAGTCTGAGATATGTAAGAGCTGACTTTGTCTCTTGCTGCTACATTGTCTAGACCTCACCCTGATCTTCTAGAAAATCCATCAGAAACTATGGAGTAATAAAAAAAGGATCAACTCCAGGAAGACAACTTGGAAACACTCTCCAAAGTTACACTTTAGGACAAAACTATTTTGTTCTTTAAATTCTAAGCTAGGTTGACTGAAGAAGATTTACCACTCAAGGAGAAAATAAGTTTAAGGAAGGTATGTAGGTATGTAGATCTTTCATATGGGAATTCATTCCTGAAATGTTGCCCTCTTATTTGAAAGCCATTCCCTTGTTACTGAGGTCAGGCTGTCTTGTGAACAATTACAAATTATATCATGCATCTATTTATCCATCTCTCCCATTCTTCATTTTTCTATTCTGAAAGTCTGCTCTATGCTTGTTGGTAGTATGTTATAGATGTTACAGATGTATTATAGATGATTCACAGAGGAACAAGAAGATGGTTCCCACATTTGCTCTTTGACAATAGTGCTGAAGAGAAAGGAATATATGTTGATAACTATAAGACTGTAAGTGATAGGATAAAATGAATGCCCCAAAGAGAAGGGTATTAATTAACAGGAAATTAGAAATTATGATTAACAGGAAATTAATTAGAAATTATGCCTGGTTTTCTTTTTCTTTTTTTTTCAATTTTTTTTTGCCAGTCCTGGGGCTGGGACTCAGGGCCTGGGCACTGTGCCTGAGCTTCTTTTGCTCAAGGCCAGCACTCTACCACTTGAGCCACAGCACCACGTGGGGATTTTTCATGGTACTGAGGAATTGAACCCCAGGTTTCATGCATGCTAGGCAAGCACTCTACCACTAAGCCACATTCCCAGCCTATGCCAGGTTTTCTTTGGAGTGTTTATAGGACTTTTTTTCTTTTTTGAATACTCACAATGTCACCATCTTTGTAATATCTGATCTTGTGGATATTCATCTTTATTGGACCTTTCAGATCAAATTGTAGTTATTGAGAATAAAAATCAAGCATGTATTCATCCACCCATCTTTCATGTGAATGCAGTGCTATATTTCACTAATTCTAAGATATACAGTTCTCTTTCTCTTCTTCCCTCCTTCCCATCTCTCTTTTATTTGTGCTCATCCTAGGACTTGAACTCAGAGCCCGGGTACTGCCCCGAGGCGTTTTTTGCTCAAGGCTAGAGCTGTATCACTTGAATCATGAGCCACTGGTGCCAAGATTCCCCTTTCTCATTTTAAGAAGGATACCAATGACATGCTATAATGTAAGTTAATATTGGCAGTTTTTTTCTTTCTTAGTAGAACATTAAATAAAGGTAGCCAGTTCCATGCATTGAGGGAAGTTTTATTATTTTAACTCCCCCTCTCACATGAGTATGGTTTTTCACTGGTTTATGAAAATCCCAGTTTAATCAGTTTGTAATATGTCCTCTAGAATGACATGTCAAGAAAATGTATTATTCTAAAAACTCTTATGAGCACTTTCTTTTATCTTAGGCTCTGTAAATCATCCTGAAAAAATGGATGAGATTAGCTTTCATTTTAATTGGTGGCAGTGTAGATAAAGCAGTTGTCTTTATATATTAGATATTATTCCTCTTCTTCTGTCAGGTGTAGTTTAATTCTGCTTTATCCACTGTAATAAAGCAGTTGTCTTTGTATATTTGATATTATTCCTCTTCCTCCGTCAGGTTTCACTTAATTCTGCTTTATCCACTTTAATATTTATATACCCAAATATCCTGCCCTTTCCTAATCCAACTCATTCTGAGCCTGTATATATTTAGAAATGCAAATGAAATGAAAATTTATGTGTGTAGAAAATTCAAGATAATGTAATCAAGAAAAGCACATACAATACTTTTCAGTAATTAAGGCATTAGTCAGGGAGTGGGTAAAAATGTTGCCTGTAATGGCAATGCATGAGAGATTCACCCAAACAGTGAGGAGAAGAGAAAAAGGCCAGATAGTTATTTCTGGATATTTTGGTATTTAATTTGCTGGGCAGTAAACTGCATCATCACATTTCACTTTTAAAACATTTTCAATTGGTCAAATGCTGATTTATTTCAGTTGTAAATTTCATTATATCCCTGTAAGATTCCCTGGAATGATACTATGTAACCCGTAAGTGTCCAGTAACGCTGGTATTTTATTATTAGTCTGATGACTAATATGATTTTTATAGTGAAGATTTCTAAAATTACCTTTTAATGGTGAACTCCAGAGTAAGAGTACAACATGGGAGAATATGTCTATCTTGAATTGCTAGGATTTTGCTCTATTGGTGATTCTTATATGATCAGATAAAATATTGTCTTGGAGTTTACCACATCTTAAAAGAGCCTTATTTCTTTGGTGGACCGAAAGAGCATATGATTGAAGTGGTGGTTTTCTGGTTACAAAGCAATATATGTTTACCATGCTAGCATATGTTCATTCAAAGACTCTTACTGAGAACCTGGGATGTGCCAGGTACTCATAAACAAGACACATAGTAGTGAGCATGAGAGACTAGGGCATCCAATGCGTTGTGGGGATACAGACAATAAAGATCAATATAACTTGGGGAGTTACAGTATGATTGGATAAGTGATGGAAGATTAAGATTGATGAAGAAAATCCTCCCTGAGAGGATAAGATCTAAAAGATGAAGGTTAGATCTGGATCACATCCTTTCCTTTTCCCTTTTCCCTGTGGGTCTGTGCTGCCACATAGATAGCAAGGAAGCCTCAGTAGTCTGCTGCTTCGTCCACCGTGAGAAACTGACTTCTCTATCTCTTCATTCTTCCTGGCCTGTGATGATTTTTGGCCAAAACAATAGGACAGAAGTGACTTGGAGTGCTCAGCTGGACCTCAAGGCTCCCTTTGATTGCCATGTATAAAACTAGGCTGCTTGGCTCGAGGAAGAGATGCTCCAGCCATCCTACTTGTCACAAATCATTCCATCACCAATGCCATCACAAACTAGATTGCTTTGGCAAATGCTCCATTTAAGTGCAGATGAATGAGCAAAACTAGCTAAGCTTCATTGAGCCTGGCCCAGACCCTGTTCAGCAGAGCCTTCCCAATATTGTTGACAATGCCCAAACCAGGAAATCAAGTGGCTATTGTTTCAAGTCATCTAAACTAGGAAATGGTTAGTTGTGTAGACTAAGCTAATCACAAGCCAATCCGTTGACATTTTTTGACTGTAGTCTCAGGGCAACTTCTTTAAGTTGAAGGAAGCAGAAAGGACCAGCCTGAGATTGCCTCAAACAGTGCCTGAACCACTGGGATTGTTCCAGAATTAAAATTGCTTTCTTGAGATATCTGGATGAGAGGAGCAAGAGCCCTAACCCACTATCAAATCGTTATAGATGAAAGGGCCCTGATTGATCATGTTCTTGCTTGTTGGTTTTTTATAAACAAGGAGGCAGATTTTAGAGCCTGTATGGAAGGGTGAGGCTGAAAGGAAAAATAGTTTAATAGAAAGAGCACAAGTTTGAATGCTGAAGACTGGAGTTCAAATTCTAATTCCTAACTTACTTCTCAGTTATGGCTCTTGAAGCAATTTACCTTACCTCTAATAGCCTCTGCTTCTCGTTTTGGAAACACTTACCATGAAACCTCTGCGAATGAGCTTCTGGAACCTGACTGGGGACCTAGTGATGCCCAGCAATGCCTAAGCATTGCCATGAACATCCCTGAAACCTTTCACTACCACCCTAGCTAGTCCTTCACCCTAGTCCACGGTACCTCTGGAAACTCCTCTGATGTTCATAGCCAGTAGGGCTGATTGGAAATACCAGACTTGGAGGAGGTATCATATTGTACCAAGATTGGCAAGTCATCCATACAGCTCATGTTTGGGTGCTTTGACACCCAATCAAATGAAGACCCCTTAGCAGGTTAATTTCTAACACTGAAATATTATTAATTTGGAAATTCTCATTTAAGAAGATCATCTCATATGATTAGCGTTTTTTTTAACTACCTAAAAACCTTCAGTTGAGCTATCTTGAGCTGCATATGCTTATTGAAATTGCTCCTTATTTCTAATCACACTTTATGAAATTAACTTTAGCATTTACTTGATGTTTACTATATCTCACATAAAACAGAAAACTGGATACCACAGAAATATTCATAAGATAAAATCAAATGAAAAATATTAACAGGTCACTTTTTTATGCAACAGCCCTATAAAGTTTCCATCACTGTCATTGGGATTTTGTTGAAACAGAGTTGTGTTCTTTGAGACAATGAGCTTCTAGAACATGATAAGAACTGCAAAATTATCTTTTAAAAGGAAACTCAGGAAGCCAGACATGGAAGGCTTACACCTATAATCCTAGCTACTTGGAAGGCTAAAGATCAGTGTTCAAAGCCAGTCCAAGTATACAACTCCAAGAGACTTATATCTCCACTTAACAGCAAAAAGCTAGAAGTAGTTCTGTGGCTCAAATGGTAGAGCGACAGCCTTGAGGAAGAAAGCTTAGCAAGGGCTTGAAGCCTTGAGTTCAAGCTCATGTTATACCAGCACAAATATTAAAAGAACCCGAGAGATAACCCCTGGTCTGTAGTGACTAGACCCTTGAACCCACAATTAAAATCTACATAAAAGTTTATCCTATGACTCTGGTATTTCACTGAGAAGAACCCTATGTAGATCAAGTTTATTTGGCCTTTTCTCTCTACTATAAATGTGAATGGTTAATGAATCCTCTAACTTTACTGAGATGCTTTATGGCTAAGAAAAGGAAAAGAATTTTTGTAAATGTAAAAGCTGTTTGATGTGTTGTTAATTGCAATGAAAAGAATCTCCTCACTGGAGGTGCGGCTTGAGTGATTAGAACAACATATGTGAGTGGAAAAGAAATATGTTCCCTGATCTAGCCAAATGGGAATGGAGTTGTTCCTTAGCAGAAACTTCCCAGGTGGACTTTTATTCAGCTGACCTGGAAGGAGGGGAATATTTAAGGCCTGTGGGTTGGGGGTGTTTTTCTAACCTAACCATACCCTTACAGTGTGTGGGAGTAGTTATGCTCAAGTGTGCCCCAATGGTTCCCTTAGACGCTCCTGCAATTTTGTACTTGAAGGCAGGTAGGAAAGTTCTCCACTTTCCTTCTTCCTCAGAAGCAAGAAAGCAGGGAGGTAGCGATGGGCTGTGCTTGGCTACACTTCTACCTATCCCTGGTTTCCTTTTTCACTGTTCCCAGTCTCCCTCCCTCACCATTTTCCTCTCCACACTATATGACTAAATTTTGAGGTTGACTTACATAGTAATCTTGATCTAGACCTTTCCTCCCAATAAGATGTAATTGTCCAAGAGATACCTAGGAGCAATGATTTTAGTACAATATTAATTTAAATTTACTTGGTGTTGATTAACTAAAACATGTTAATCCAGTTTGAGGCAGTTGGTGGATTTTGAAAAAAAGCTGGAAGCTGGGCATAGGTGGCTCATGCCTATAATCCTAGTTATGTAGGAGGCTGAAATCTGAGTATTGTAGTTTGAAGCCAGCCTGGGCAGAAAAGTCTGTGAAGCTCTTATCTCCAATTAACCACAAAAAAATTGAAATGGAGCTGTGGCTTGAGTGGTAGAGCAGTAGTCTTGAGTACACAAGCTCAGAGACAGTGTCTAGGCCCAGAAGTTCAAGCCCCAGGACCAAAAGGAAAGAAAAAAGCTGGCAAACATTCCTGACTATATTTTTCATTAGAAAATTAGTTGCTATTGGGCATATGGCTTCCTCAGTAGCAGGATGTTAGCTGCTGGGTAAAGAGCAATCATGGGCACATGAGCCTAGGGCACTTAGCTCTTGGCTTGGCAAAGGTCACACAAATACTGCCCCATTCCCCAAGATAGTATTTCTAGATCCTTGTATGATTTCATATATATCAAAGACAATATTGGATGGTGCTTTTTTTCCTCCTTATAATTAAAACCTAGGCTTTAAAAAATATTTTTTAGGAAGAAATGGAAAAAACTCCAAATCTTAATATGGCAAGTGATTCTCCACATAGGCAAGTGATAGGGGATAAAACAGAAATAGGGCAAAAAGGAAAAAATGCCTCTTCCCTCCCTTTCCCATTCAATTTGGGGGCATTGCTAATCCCTCCAGAATTCAGAGAACCAAGTCCCTTGTAATTTGCATGTTTTAAGAATTCAGACTCTTCTGAATACATTACTTGTATCTGAACATCTCCTCTTTCTGCCAAAAATTTATAGTATTGGTATATGTCCCAATCCAAAATCTCACTGTTAGAACTCAAATTTTCAGGCCTCTCAGTGAGTCTCACTTTTTCCACTGGAATACCTTCACTTTTTTCCAACTTGTCAGCAACTGTGAATAGAAACAACCCAGAAAAGAGTTAGAAAACATAACCCGAAAGGGATAACAGTCAACTTAGAGAAAACAGTTGAACTTAGTCTCCTAAAATTGTGGTAAAATGTGGCTGATTGACAGCGAAAACCCACGGGAAAGAGAAATTTTTATTCTTTCAAAAGTTCAAAAGACCTAGCTATTCTTTTCAATTCACATAAGCATTATCAACATATATTGAACTCTTCTGAATAAATTGGTCACGGAGGCTCAAGAAAAGAGATTTTAGAAACGGCTAATTCCATCTGTGCGGACATTTTCGGGAACTGGTAATACAATATAAGAAGAATAACTGTTCCTTAGTTATTGCTTATAGATAGTCTGGAAATAAATATGAACATAAACATGCTAGAATTTAACAAAGTATGCAGTTTAAAATATTATACATAGTAATTCCAATTTTATTAAGCATATAAAATGATCTTGTTATTTATATATATAGCATCTCAAATTCAAAAGTAATTTATTTTTTCCCTTTCTTTTCTCAGATTCCAGTTGTGGCAAAGATATGGTTCATTTCTAGATTTAGGTGTTATTCTAAATCCAGAAATTAACCAAATGGGCTTTGCCTTATTCATTTCTTGGAAGATTTTTATTTTAAACTCCAGTATAGATTCTGCTTCTGTGCTGTCACAGCTGAAATGTTACATACAAACTTGAAAGTGATTGTAGGCAAGAGGGGGACAAAGCTCAGGTGATAAAGTGCTTCCAGATTTTAAAAGAAAAGACAGAGAGAGAAAAAAGAAAGAAAACAAAGGAAGAGATAGAGGGAGGAAGAGGGGAATGAGGGAAGGTGTGAAGGAAGGAGGGAAGGAAGGAATGAAAGAGAGAGAAAGAAGAAAGGATTCCAGGAAACATAGCTTAGTCTCATGTTGTGTGTTTTGGAGACAAAGCTTATAAGGTATTAGAATAGTAATTGCTTGAATTTACTTGGATGCAGTGGTAGATATCTCCAATGTATGTGTCTGTGTTTATTTCGTTAAGTATTTTTAACAGCCATTTTACATTGTAAATATTAGGTTTGGAGTAAATGCTTAATATTTATTGGTGTTGCATTTATAGTTTTTTTTGCATTTAAATTTTTTATTTAAACAATGAACATCACAAAAATATGTAAAACAGAAGTGTTTGGAGATAGATTAATAAAAAATAAAAGATGAATACAATCATTTTTGAAGTGTCTCAGAAAGCTGAAACACCACAATGATTAAAAGAAATGTATTAGCAGATGCTAAGAGCATAGAAATCTATAGTACTTTCATAAATTTATGTTGATTAGTATTGATTGGTTAAGGTTGTTTAATCAGTCTGGGTTTTTTGCAGTGATAGGCAATGGAACTCAGGTTTTTGTGTTAGACAAGTGCTTTACCATTGAGCTACAGCCCCAACCTCATGTCTGTTTCCTTTAAAATAAATTATGGGGATTACTCACTATAATCTGCTACTTTCTTGTAATGATTTAGCGCAACTTCACAATTTTGTAGAACATTGATTCCTGACAAATACCGGTACCCCTAAAAACACAAGAATACATATTGTTAACATTCAGATAATATTGTATTTATAATATTTCTACTTGACTCAAGAATATTTAATTTACAAACCAGAATCATCTGGGACATCATGCTTCCTCCAGCACTTCCAAAGGTATAATATATCAATGCCTAAGCAAAAATAAAGCAAAATTATATTGTTTTCAAGTTAGGAACTCAAGTCAACCACTAATTTTCACTCCTACTCTAGCAATGAATCTTTAGCTACTTCAAAATAAATTTCAAATTTCTCTTTTAAGATGGGTGCTATTTATCAAAAATGGCATTATTATTAAGACTGTGGAATTTTTAATAAGGGAATTATGCATGATATTTCCATTCATTTTATTATCATAAAATCCCTAGAAAGTAGATACTATCTGCCTTTAGCTATGAATGTAAAATATGAGACTTTAAGAAACTCCTAGTAGAAAAATGTTAAATTTCTCTGTTGATTGGATGCTTCTAACAATAACGTAAGTCCCCTAAACAATAGATTCTGCCCAGCATGGTGGCACATGCCAGTAATCTTAGCATTTGGGAGGCTGAGACAAGAGGATTACAGGTTTGAGTCTAGCTTGTCCTATCTTGTGAGATCTTGTCTCGAAACAAAAACAACAAAAGAGTATATCTGACTCAAATAAATAAATTTAAATAAACAAATGTTTTATTTCCCCCAAAAGATAATAGAATTGACTTTACCTTGGCTTGATCGTATTCCATTCCTATTCCATAAGAAGACAAAAATCCTAAAGCCTAAAGTACAAATGAAAACATATAGCTAGATATGTCATTGGCTTCACAGTTCTTACCTATGATAAGGAATATTTGAAAGGTCTGCTCCATGATAATTTGTATTGTTAATTTATTTGTTAAGTTCCAACAAAATTCTTTGGTTAAAGCTGTGAGAATTTGGGAAAGGTCACAATGGTGGAAGAATTATATAATATATGAAGATGAGCTAATTCTTACTGTACTTTAGAATGAATAATAATAAAACATTTTAAACCAGTGGTCATTATGTATTTTACTTACTTAGAAACAGTTTTTTACCTGCAATATCTTACAAAGTACGTTTGAATATTTTATTCAGGTTTTTAAATGAGACAGGATTGGTACAAAATATTCAAGCAGTAAGAAACACATTGAATAAACTGTTACAGTCTAATCCCTGAACAAGTTGAAAGAATAGAAAGTCTCAGACTGTATCCCCTCCCTCCCCCACCCCTCAACAGACATAAAGTTTTCAAAAGATCTCCAGAAACCATTTAAGTTGTAGTGAGCCACCAAGCTGAAAATAGAGATGATGAAGCCTGGTAGAAGGTTGCCAACTTCTTATGGTTTGACCTACAATTTCTCAGCTTTGGGATGGTGTGAAAGCAATATGTGTTCAGTAGAAATTGAACTTCAATGCTTAAATTGCAGCTTTTTCTTGGTTAGTGGCATGGGATTGAACACTTTCTGAGGATGCTGGGCAGTGGCAGGTTCCCAGTTAGCCAATGAGATCACACGGTCAACTGCTGACACCCGACATGTCCTGTGTTGCAGATTTACAATGTTTGACAAGTCTATGAAATGGATTTTTGCCATTTGATGAGTTTATTGGGACATACTATCTCACATTTATGTCTCCCAGCATGCTTTTACTGTGAGCTATTCTCAGTTCTAGAGACGATTGAAATAATTTCTAGGCTTTATGCCTCACCTCTGCATTCTACAACTCTCCATTATTATTACCACTCTCTATCTACCAGTATCAGGCTCACATTTCCATTTCTTCATCTGGTTCATAAGAACATTACAGGAGACATGTAAAATGTCTAAAATCTAAATATGCATCAAGGTGTGGTAATTCAATCACCTCAAAAAATGGGTAATTTTTTTAAGTTTTAATTGTAATTTTGAAAGGCAAAACACTCTTTTCTGTCTTTTCGGCCTCTCTCTGCATCTCTGTCTCAATCTCTCTTTACGGTACTGAAGATTAACTCAGGGCCTTGAGCTTCCCCAAATGAGCAATGCCCTCTATCCATGTGCTGTATAGTTTTTGCTTCTTCGATAGGGTCTCTTATTAACTGCCTGGACTGGCCTCAGTTGGCAATCTTCTCACCTCTACTTCTCAAATAGCTGTGATTACAGATGTACACTACCATACCGGGCCTGTGTTACTTTTTAAATTATGAAACTGCAGAGTTCTGTTTCCAAAAGCATAATGACTCTAACATAGTTTATAAGTACAGTTCATATATCAAAAATTAAAAACAAAACAAAAAACTTCTGTGATTCTGAAAAGTCCTCTTTAGTTTTCAAGGTTTCCTCTTTAGGGAACTCACAATTGTTCTGTAAATGGAAGACATCTGAATTTTGGTACTCCTGTAACCCTTGCAATGTATATTTAAAATGATTAAATTGGCTCCTTTCAGGGACATCTCCAGCCAATTTTAGATTATTTTTCAAAATTTTGTTGCAACTCCCAGCAGTTTTTTTCTGCTCAATTTAGAATCTAGTTCACTGATGCAGAAACTTTGACAGTAAACAAATACACTGACCTTCATGTAAGAAAATGAAGGTGCAATTCTATTCAATTTAGGCCTGTATTTTAGAGCCACTTACAACCAACAGGATCATTGTGTACAGCCTCGCCTGCTCTTTTGGTCTGATCCTCCTGGAAAAATACATGAGCTCATAAAGTTATGAAGAAGCTTGTGTGGGAATTAAATTAACATTCTGTGACAGTGAAGGGGAGTATTTTTGTATAAAGCTCACTCCAAAGAGTAAGGACTAAAATAATGATTTTTATCAGCCTTGAATAATCAAAGGCTGAACTTCCTTTCTCTTTAGCATAAAAATAACATGGAGTGACTTTGAGTTAATTCTTGGAGGAGGGGGAGTTCAACTTTACTTTATTCTTGGTATATCTTTTAATTCTGCTTAAAGCATGCCTGGGCATTCCAGAAAGTCAAAAGATGTCACGAGCTGTCCTGTGGTAAAATACACCGATTATTGTCAGCACAGACCTATTCTTTTATATGTCATGTATTGCCATGTAACAATTTCACATTCTTTGGCTTTGTTTGTTTGTTTGTTTTTGGACTCAGTCTTTTTCTGAGAAAAGGACGAGATAAAACAAAGATGGATTATAGAATGATTTAAGTTTCCATCCAGGAAAGAGAAACATGATGAACTGAAAGAGAAGCTACAGAATAGTGATAACATCAAGGACATTTTTGGTGGTTTTTAATGGTCAAACTCTGCAAATTGGATTGTTTATAATACTCAGATACTAAACTCAACCACTTTGGCATGGCTTTTAAGGAAGTGTTACAGTGGCTGGGGTTGCATGGGAAGAGTTAAGTATAAAGGATGTTTCACTGTACTTCAAGGTAAATTATTCAGGTTCTATAGTAACAATTTCAAAATTAAATATTCCTTTTGCTTTTTTGTGCAAAGGATTATTAAGGGAGAAAAAAAAGATGAAGCAATTTTCCTTTAATTATTGTATGAGGCTTGAAAGCTCCTGTGATCATTACTTTTAGTTCAAATTGAGTTCTTTGGAACTCAATTTGAACTAAAAGTAATGAAGGAACTCTAACGAGCAACTCAGACACTGTCTGTACTCTAAATACAAAAAAGCATCAGCGTCAAGCAGTGCTTTACACAGGTAACTCTAGACTGATCAAAGTGATTATTAAGTTGATACTAAAAACATTTTTTCACTAGTAGCATAGTGCTAATAACTATAGCCCTACCACAATTCATACCTCCATAATTTGATTTTTGTATATAAAAGAAGAATATATAGAATCTTTGTCATTGAGACATGATTATTCTAGAATCCTAAAACACAATAAAAAATGGAGTTAAGGGATTTAAATCAAGGGATTCAAATAGGGAGGAGAAGTCAAATTATTGTTATTTGCATATGACATGATCCTAGTTTTAAAAAAACCTAAATATTCTAACCAAAACCCCTCCTAAATAAGCCAGTTACCAGTAGCTCACACCTGTAATTCTAGCTACTCAGGAGGCTGAGATCTGAGATCACAATTTGATGCCAACCTTACAGGAAAATTTGTGAGACTCTTATCTCCAATTTACCAAAAAACTGGAAGTAAACCTGTGTGTCAAGAGGTAGAATGTTAGCCTTCAGCAATAAGGCTTAGGAACAGCACCCAGGCCTTGGCTTCTTCAAGCCCCTGGACTGGCACAAGAAAAAATAAATAAAAGAGAGAAAAGAAAACTCCTAGATTTGATAAACACTTTTAATAGCAGAATAAAAAATCACATATAAAAAGCAGTAGCTTTTCTATATACTGACAATGAACAAGCTGAGAGAGAAATCAAGAAAATTCCAAGGTGGGAGACATGATTCAGTTGCTAGAGCACCAGTCAATGAGTGAAAGTGTTAGGTACTGAGTTCGAGTTCTAATCTTGGGCCAAAAGAAAAAGAAAAGAATTTCATTCACAATAATCTTAAAAAATTAAGTTAAATATTTTTTTTTGTCAGTTGTGGGGCTTGAACTCTGGGCCTGGTGAATCCTTGAGTTCTTCAGCTCAAGACTAGTGCTCTACCACTTGAGCCACAGCGCCACTTCTGGCTTTTTCCATTTATGTGGTGCTAAGGAATCGAACCCAGGGTCTCATGCATGCAAGGTAAGCACTCTACCACTGAGCCACCTTCCCAGCCCTTAAATACATTTAAAATAAATAAAAGTAAGTTAAATAAATAGCAAAGTAGTACATATGCATGAATAGAAAGACCATTTAGAGAGAAGAAAACAATATAAAACTACTTAAAAAAAAGAAAGGAATAGAGCCAGGCACAGGTGTCTCACACTTGTGAGCTACTTAGAAGGCTGAGATCTGAGGATCATGGTTTGCAACCAGTCCAGGCAGAAAAGTTAATGATACTCTTGTCCTCAATAAATTATTCAGAAAAAATCTGGAAGTGGCCATCTGGCTCAAATGATACTATGAAGAGGCTCAGGGACAGCACCCAGGCTCTGAGTTCAAGCCCCAGGACTGGCAAAAAATAATATAAAAATAGCCAAAATAGTGTCACCACTTGGAGATTACCATTACTGGTTTGAATTTTCTTAAGGGTAATAAAATATAAATGACCTATTCCTTGATTCTTTTTGTAGTACTCTACCTTGAACCATATACCGAGGTTTAATTTCCTGCCTGGAAAATTAATGGACAAATTTCTTATTGAGAACAGTTTATCTATATGAAGAAAAGAATTAGTTTCTTATTTCTCAGTTTTTGCCTCCTAAATGAGAACTAGAAAATTGAAAAGTTACAAGTGAACTATCTATATCCAACCTGGTAAACACAGTACCTTACAGGACATCTTCCAGATTATGAGAGCTTGAAATCTCCTCAATTCCCACCATTTCATTGAAGACTACTCTACTAATAGTTACTATTACAGATTCTTTCAAATCATCTTACTGGGATATTTTCATAATGTAAATTGTTTTTGTTGCCCTTCACAGAATTTCCTTCAGTTTATTTTGCTACATGAACCAGTCAAGGTATGAAAAGAAGTGATTAGGCCTCTTTTCCTCCATCCAGCTTCTCTTTGTATAGTAGTCTAAAATTGCATTCCTCCCCTCATGTTCTCAAGGACACTTTATAAGGTGAATTGTAGCATTGTTTTTCTTTGTTAATTTGTGTATTCTTATTGGTTCTCTGACATCCCATCATCATCTGTAGTGCATCAGAACTTTATTTTCCTGTGCATGTGTTCCTGTCCTAGCTATACTTCTGGCTTTTTGGTGGTTAATTGGAGATAAGAGTTTCATGGAGTTTCCTGCCTAGGTTGGCTTTGAACTATGATCCTCAGATCTCAGCTTCCAGAGTAGCTAGGATTACAGGCGCAAGCCACTAATACCTGGCTATTGGTACTTCTGATTTATTTTTCTCTCCCCACTTCAGAGATGTAGTATCCTCTGTATCTCTCCAGCCCTGCAACTCTCTCCTATTCTTGCTCATTTTAATTTCTAGCTTCTTTAGTTGCATTTCTTTTTAAAAATTTTATTTTATTGTAATGATGCTGTACAGAGGGGTTACAGTCACAAGAGCTAGATAATGAGCACATTTCTTTTTTTTTTTTTGTCGGTTGTGGGGCTTGAACTCTGGGCCTGGGCGCTGTCCCTCAGCTCTTCAGCTCAAGGCAAGTGCTCTACCACTTGAGCAACAGCGCCACTTCTGGGTTACAGTTACAAGAGCTAGGTAATGAGCACATTTCTTGTCGAGCATTGTTCCCCCTCCTTTGTTTTTATCCTACTAACCCTTCCCTGCCCCACCTCCCTCACTCCTCTCCCCCAAAGTTATCAAGTTTATTTCCAGCATAGTATCTTGTGAGTCTCCTTGTTGCAATAGGTCATCATCCTGTGTCCTTGTTTCAGCATTTTGTTATTCCCCTTCCTCTGGCCAAGTTAGATAACTGTATATACAAGATGCAAGGCACCAAAATCAAATGCTTAGGTGCATTGCACTTCTGTTGTGCTATTGTCCTTACACTTCCCAACAGTGCCAGCAGGATCCCTATATTAGACTAGCACAAATATCAGGAGAAGGAAAGTGGTCACCTGGGCAGCACTATTAAGCTTGAATCAATGTGGCCTGTGGCCAACCTGGTCTCAGGACTTAGCCATTGAACTAAGTACTGTTTGTGGCATAAAATCTCCTTCACTCTTTCTTTTTAATACAAGGAGCTCAATCAACTGTAAGAGGATTTGCTATTGGAAACATTTTTCTATAGTGTTCACAGGAATAATAGTAGAAATGTAGTCAAATCCAGCTATAGAGCTGCAACAGGGTAGTTGAGGGTTCTACATTTGCATATCATGGAGAGTTTGAGAAGAGTCTTGAGTGAGGAATGAGGACATTCAGGTGGTCAGGGAGCACAGAGGATGGCTTAGGCAGAGGATTTTTTTTTAACCATCAAATATAATGTTGCAGTGTTCCAATAAATAGCAGGGCTGGATTTTGCATAGTAGATCACTGTTAGCCATTTGGATTAATTTTATCTTACCTACACTCTGTCTTCTGGTCCCTCACAAACTAGACACACACCTATTACACAGATAACTTCATTTTTTTTATAGACAAAAGAAAATGAAATGCAGAAAGAACAAGTCAAGCCAGATAAGGTGGCACAAGCCAGAAATCCTAGTTATGCAGAAGGCATATGTAGGAAGAGCAAAGTCTGTCCCTGGCATTAACCTTGCATTCTGTATAAAATGTAACTATGTCAAGAATCCAGAGCTCTCAAATGAGCCCTTAGGGTCTGTCACCTTAGGGTGGATTGGAGAGCAGTTCTCTTTTTTTTTTAAATAAATTTTATTTTTTAATTGAAAAGGTGATGTGTTGGGGGGTTACAGTTACCTAGGTAAGACAATAAGTACATTTGTTTTTAATTATCATTTTAATTATCATTACCCCATCTTTTTTTTGTTTTGTGTGTGTGTTGGGTGGGGGTGGGGGGGTTGCGGGGTTTGAACTCTGGGCCTGGACGCTGTCCCTCAGCTCTTCAGCTCAAGGTGAGTGCTCTACCACTTGAGCCACAGCACCACTTCCGGTTTCCTGAGTGGTTTATTGGAGGTAAGAGTCTCACGAACTGCTCCTGCCTGGGTTGGCTTTGGACCACAATCCTCAGATCTCAGCCTCCTGAGTAGCTAGGATTACAGGCATGAGCCACCAGCGCCTGGCTCTACCCCCATCTTTCTTTGCCTCCCGCTTACCCTTCCCTATCTTCCCCCCTCCCCCCCCCCCCCCCCCCCGCCCGACCCCCAAGTTGTAATGTTCATATCTCACATAATGTCAAGTGAGTATCAATGTGGCTCATCCTTTGTTCTGATGTTTCTGTGATTCCCTTTCCTTTCCACATATTGCATTGTCTATTATGTAAAACACGAGGTACAAAAAGCTAAGAGAAATGAGGAAAGGAAAAAAAAAACAATAATAGAGAAAAAAGAATGAATTATATACCGGGTCTAATGAGAGGCTCTTGTTTCCATGAGTTGGGGTTCATATTAATATACTTCATTATATATAGTTCTTGACACTAAGCAAGTGGGTTCTTGAGATCCCTTGTTAAGAGTTATCTTCTACATATTCTAGTTCTTACAAATGAGGGAGATCATGAGACCTGCTTTACTTTGGGTCTGGCTTACTTCACTTAATATAATTTTCCCCAAACTTTTCATTTCCTTATGAATGGAGCAACAATGCTGGAGGAATTTCAATACTAAACCTCAAACTCTATTACAACGACATAGTACTGGAAACAGCTTGGTATTGGCACAAAAACAGGCCTGAGGACCAAAAATGGAATAGATTCGAAGACTCAGAAATGAACCCACAGACCTATGGCCACCTAATCTTTGACAAGGGAGCAAAAAAAAAAAAAAAATAGGATGGAAGAAAGACAGCCTCTTCAATAAATGGGGCTGGCAGAATTGGCTAAACAGGTATAGAAAACTAAAGTTAGATCCTTATTTATCACCCTGTACCAGAATCAACTCCAAATGGAGAGCAGTGGAGAGCAGTTATGTTCCTTAAAGTCCTCTGTTTGGAATAAGGTACCAGGGGTCCTGCTGCATTACTGACCTGACACTACTATGTCTATGTGCATATGACCACATTACCACAGCCTAGCTAGCTCTGGGGTCTGCAGTAGTGTGGGAACACTATTGTAAAACTTCTTTTATGTGTTATTGTTCTTTTGTTATTTCAGGATGGAGGTATTTAAGGTTTTGTTTTCTTTCAAAACTCACGTTTTGGGCTTTGTATGATCCTTCTTTAGCCAGGGACTCATATAATTGGATAGCTGCTGTTATGTTTTGCATGCCAAAATTTCCAAATAGCAAAGCATCAGCCATTTTCTCCATTGCTTTCAAATTTCCCATGTCAGCTGCTTTGGCAAAAAGCATGTAGGCTCTGTTTCAAGAATATAATGTCAAAAGGGTGATTTACAAAAATGAAATTTTCTGCTCCTTCCTTTATGTGACTTCTTTCTAATAAGTAGTACTCTGTTGTCACAATGCAGCTGAGCTGAAGTCTATTATACCTCTAGATTTGTTGATTTATTTTACCTTTAGATCAATCTAAGGTTATAATTTCAAATACATTTAACAAACAATAAAGCTACTAATAATGAGAAATACATAAGATATGTCATCCTTAAGCTTTATGTGGTAAGTAAAGTGAAAACTCAAAGCAGTCATCCTAAAATAGCAAATTCTTCCATGCCCATCTCTATTATTTATAGATATTTGTTTTGTAAAGCAACTTCTGAAAATATGAGAGTACTCAAAATTTAAATGCTGCATATGGGAGTTTATCTCATGCAAATAATGAGATACTTACATTTCTTAAAGCAACACTTCTTTTCAATACAGCAAAGCCAGGTTACTTGGAAAATCAATACCCAAACAAAAGTTCAATCGATAGGACTCTACAGTTTTGTTGTTTGGAATCATATTCTGGCTCCACCAGTTAATAGTTGGAAATTTTCAGTCAAGTTACCTAGCCTCTTTGTGCCTCTTTCAGCTATGAAATGAGGATAACAGGACACTTACTCTGTAGGGTTGCTGTAAAGATTAATTGAGATAATCTTGGCATCATGCCTGGTAAGCGTAAACCCTCAATAAATTTAGCTATTACTATTAGAACCAAAGTTTTATAACTTAATAATTTCTCTTTAATTAGGTAGTAATGGTGTAAAATTTTAGTGGTTGAAAATATAGTTACTGTAGGATTGCCTGACACTGCATATTCTGAACTTCAGCCTCAAATCACCTGGACTTTCTGTGTGTGACAAGTAGTGATGAAGAATCTCACAGGTCAAAATGTGTTAAGAGACAGAGAGGACTTCGGGGATGTACTTTTACTTTTATAATTTCCTTTTTTTGTTAGTACCAAGTCTAGAGATCATTAACCTCTATATTCATGTATTTGACTCAAATATAAGAAAATGTACGGTACACCCCCTCCACATCATTGTTTCCAATTAAGAATGATCAGGCAATTTTGTGTTGAGTGTCTTTAATGGTGAGAAAAGAAGCTGCTCCTTTACAAAGACTTGTGCAGAACAAGTTGGGCCTAAAAGGCCTCAGAAAGCCACTCAACGAAGGAAGCAGTAGAGGTCAGCATGTCAAAAATAGAGGATTGGTATTCTAGTAGAACAGAAAATGGCAGACAACTAGAGCCAGGAGGGCAAGAAAGAACTTACCCAGGGATAAAGCAAGCTTAGCATCTTGAGGATGGGGCAAACAAGGAAGGTCTCAAAAAACTGATACCTAGGATAGGTAGCAGAAGGATAGGCTGACATTGGGATACAAATCCACTTGAATGGCTTTTATCACAAGGCTTGCTGTTGTAACTTATCTAGCCTGCAGGAATGAGAAGACTCCAACAGGGACCAAGATGTAGAAACCTGATATGGATTGTAGAAGCATTCCATTGTATATCTCATCTGTCCAAGGAACAGCAACAGGCCACAAAGCCAAGCTCTATAGGTTTGTGGATTCTGTGGACACAGGTATCTGGCTTCCCAGTCAGGGAAATCCAAAGTGATAAAACAGATGCTACAAATAGGACAAGTTGCTTCTGGTTAGGCAAGATTAAGTTCCACATGCAATCCTCAAAAGGGAAAAAGTAGAAGGAACTAGACAGCAGGAATAGATCTGGACAATAGCATTGTTAGCTATCTGTATGATCACCAAAGCAATTGGGTGTTAAGTGGGTATTGAGGGAGAAGAGTCTAAACATTCCTCCAACACAGATCAGCAGCGTATCTGAAAACGCTGATGTGGAATAATTCTAAATGAGGGACCAACAATGGCTGTCACTGAGATTTCCTGACTCCCTCAGACAAATTTTGTCTCTCTTGATAAATGCTTGCATGATAAGTGTACTTTTGTGTGTATGTGTGTGTGTTTGTGTGTGTGTGTGTGTGTTTCATTTCTGAGAATTGAACTCAAAACCTTGAGCTTGCCAGGCAAGCATTAGATATTTTAGTGGCACTTCCAGTCAATATGTATATTTTTAACAATACTGACACTTTCAACAATGCTACCTATTTAATACATAAATAGATGAATGAATGATTAAACAAATGATCGAATGATTCCAGAATGTGGGTAAGCTCAAAGCACGAGTGCCATTTCCATGGGAAGGCGCAAAGCATGAGTACAATAGAGGGATTCCCTTCTAGTCAGGAAGGTAAACATTAAATTTCTCTTCACCTTCCTGAATCTTGAACAAGACAATAGAGGTGATTGGCTGAAGGAGAACATGGGCTATTCTGACAGCATAAGGGATTTGCCCAGCTTCCTCACAAACTCCCAGGGTGTCTTGTGATTAGCAAATTTGGTTTTAGTTCTCCACTGCTGTTAACTCAAAAGCATCAGGTGACTCAGATATCCTCTACTGCTATGTAAAACAGCTACTCTTCTGTCACTCCTAAGTAAGGACTAGATTAAGACAATCTGGGCAAGAATAGCCTGGAATAAAGTCCTTAAATTTGAAGGCTGGTTTGCTGTTAGGACTGGGTTTTGTTCCAGTCCAACCTTTAAGCAAAGGCTAAGAGAATCATTAAGCTAGATAAATAATTCTCTGTTTTCACTTACTAAGTGAGTTCCTTAGTAAAATAAATTGCATATTAGGATAGGTTGTATTTTAGGGGTCTGATTTTTACCTGTCCTTATCAAGACAGTCATCAGGGACGCTTAGTAGGAAACCAAGATTGTGCTGGGAGTATTTCCTTTGTTCTTGCTAAGAGTTTATGAATCACCTTCTCCTAAGGAAAAGAACAACTTTCTCATCTCTCTCTTCTTGTCACTTTGGCAGAATTACAGAATCTTTTTCCCTCTCCGTTTCCTCATGTGGTTGGGGGATAATAATCCATGCTCCACAGGAGCATGGTGAGCACTGAGTAATATCGAACTTAGCCAGTAGAAAGTGATCATGAACAATCCTCATCTTCTATACTCCTGCACTTTCCTCAAAGGCTTCGGGTTTTGACACCTTTGTAAAGACACAGGCAACAAAGAGGAAGAATGGGTGTGGAGGACCACAGCTTATTCACCTCCTTGCTGTGTATCTATGTTTGTCTCACTGTAAGAACATTAGCTTTCTGTTTCCCATTTTTTAAATAAGCTAGGTGTAGTATTTCTTGCCTCATAAGATTCATCTGGAGAGAATGCAGAAACACATGAAAAAGCTCCGACAATCATAAGGTACTGTACAAACACTCAGGAAGAATAAAACATGCTAAACCAGCAACTGTTCTAGTTCAAATAACACATTTAAAATATCTAATTAATTAAAGCCAACATAGTATTTTGGCTTGAATGCTCATGAGGATCAGAACCTTAATTCTCCATTTCACTTAAAGGTACCTGAGCCAAATAATCCTTCTGCTTAGGGTAATGCTTTTTGAGACTCTTTAAACACCATTTGATCCTTCTAAAAGCAAAACTTATGGGCAGATAAGCTTATTTGTTATTCTAATGAGCTTAATGATGAATTAGATTCTAGAATGCCCTTTTTTTTTTATTAACGTGAGTATTAACTTGGCTACTTACTCTGCTTTATGCTTTTGGCCTTTAGATTCCTGGAGAATCTTGATGCCCATGTTAAATAGCTCATCTCCTTGATCTGTGAAGTTTTTCTTTGCTTGCTTTTTTACTATATGGGCAAACAAGGAAAAGAAAAACAATATTACTTCTTTATTTTACTTATTTTTTGTTGTTGTTGTTGGTCGTGGGGCTTGAACTCTGGGCCTGGGCACTGTCCCTACCCTCTTCAGTTCCAGGCGAGTGCTCTACCGCTTGAGCCACAGCACCACTTCCAGTTTTCTAGTGGTTTATTGGAGATAAGAGTCTCACAGACTTTCCTACCCTGGCTGACTTTGAACCATGATCCTCAGATCTCAGCCTTTTGAGTAGCTAGGAATACAGGGATGAGCCACCATTGCATGGCAAGTTTTATTTATTTTTAGAATATTTTAAATTTCAAAAAGTTTGCTTAGTATTATTCTCTAAGTTAAGGACACTGGTAGGTCAAAAGGGAGAAGCTGCCTAAAAATGTCACTTGTTATTTTGTGAAAGGATCTAGACAGTGGGGAACTAAGTTTCTGATGGCAGGAGGGAAAGTGGTGTTCACGGGGTATGTAAGGTTCTACAAACAGGAAGCTGGGGATTTCTGGCTCCTGTCTATAAATCTCAGAGCCATGATATATAGTTGAAGAGAACAAAAGGACTAGGCAACAAGCATTTCTAAGATGACTTAGCATTGTGCACCTAGAAGCAGAGGACAAAATCTCTTTGAAATTTTGCTCTCCCTAAGGCTTCTCCCTATCATTTCTTTGTATATTCTTGACAGAAAGACTACTAATTATAACTTGCCTTGTAGACTGAGGGCTAAGAAGTCTGTTTTATGGGACTTAAGGAAAATAAGATGCAATCTTACCCACTACAGTAGTATCACTGAACCATTTCTACAGCACTTCATAACTTTTAGATCATTGTCACCAGTGTATTAACCAGAAAAGCAGGTTGGAGGAAGAGTCAAATTTGCTGCTACTCCACACACACACACACACACACACACACACACACACACACACACACACACAACCTTTCACAACAATATTTATTCAAGTCCATTTCAGTATCAGTGAAATCTCTGATTAGGAAGACAGCACCAGAAATCATTTCAAAGGAAGGGCATTTGGAATTTGATGCTTCATTAACAAGACCACAAAGAACTTTTAAATGGCTCTTATTTTTTTTTCTTCCTGACAAGCTATCACAGTTGTCTCATTTCATTTTTTAAATTTAATTTTTATTGTTAGCATAGAGGTGTGTACAAAGGGGGTTACCATTTCATAAGTCAAGTAATGAAAACATTTCTTTTCTTTTCTTTTTTTTTGGACAATGTCATCCTTTCCTTCACTTTCCTCCTCCTGTCTTTGTCCACAAGCTACACAGCTCATTTTCCCATAGTGTATACTGAATATACTGCATTTTTTCACTCTTCTTCTCACCTTTCCCCCCTACCTAAAAAAAAAAAAACAACAAAGCAAAACCAAGCACCACAACCATTTTATTATTTAATTAAAAAACCAACTTAAAAGCCAGTTTAAAATTATTTTGAGTGCTTCACATTAGTTAATCAATTTAGAAATACATGATATTTTAGCATATAATTTTTGCTCTGAGTTATATATTATCTATACTCATGATTAAAACGTGAGGAATAATGGGAAAAGCCTACTAATCTGTGTATACAATCACAGTTGCTCTCATTAACACGCTTTCAAAGCATAAGAATAAATTTTGAAAGCTTGACTCTGCATGCACATAAATATAAAATGGTTTACCATTGCAAATTTTTTACCCGTAGCTTTTGCTTTTATTTGTAATTCTTTTTTGGCTCCCTAAAATGTATTGAGCTGTACAAATTTTCTTCTTAGAAGAGAGTTCAATTATGAGATAAAGTTATCTTGATGACGCTTTCATCTTCTTCTTAAGGTTTGAAGGTTGTGAAACTTCAGGGAATGTAGAGTAAGGAAATGTCTTGAGATTCCAGATTTGATGTGAGGTAATCATAGTGGCTGGAGAGACTGATGCAGCCTCAAAGCTGTATTACAGCAGGACATCATGTGACCACTCAAATAGACAAAATACTAAAACCAGTTTTTGACCCTAGACCTCCAAAGTATGAATTGAGTCCGACTTAGTCGCCAAATAAAGAGATCTGATGAGGGGCAGAGAATGAAGATACATTATATGGCACACATAGAAAGATAGTTCTTCAATACATCTTTGGCAATTTTCAGATGTCTTGAAAAGGAGAGTTAAATAGGAAGAACTGGGGGAAGACTGAGGGAGAAAAAATGCATGCTTAAAGCAGTCCTAGAGACATGCATGTACCCAGAGACAAATAGCTGACAATCCATCGTCTAGGACTGGGCAGGTGATCTACTGCTTCCTGGCTTGGCTTCTAAGACAGTTTCAAAGTGACTGAGGCATGGAGAGAGAGTAGGAAGGAAGACTAGATGTCATTGTTAGGAGAAAGAGAATGAATTGAGTGGTAGGAAGCTAGCTCTCATTGAAGACAGGTATTTTACAGTTCAAAATCATGTTGGTGAGAAAGCTCTGACTGTGACTAACAAGTGGCAGATGAGAAATGGAGACAAGGAGGATTGTAATTGTTAAGGTCTAGGATATAAGGCAATATCTTCAATAGGCTATTTCATATCCAGGGTGGCTAGTAGTGGTCACCTTAGTAGTCATTCACTGAGCAATGTAGCACAGACCTTGTGATTATAAGAAGAGGCATTTTTCTATTGCAGTCCACTCTTCACAGGTCTAACTACTGAACCTCTAGCTTTGCTCTGTTCTTCTTTTTTGTCATAACCTTTATTTCTTACTCCCTTTTAACTTTAACCACAAAATCTAAAATTTAACATTCAAAGTAAAACTACTCTCTAACACAACTAGAAAGATGAGAGAAAAATAATGGATTTTTTCCACCTCAAGTTAAATATATTTACAGCATGAAGTACATAAGGATCACTTAGAATGAAAAGAATTGATAGTTGGGTCGGTAGCTCACACCTGGAATCCTGTAAAAGGTGTTTTAAAAGCTGCTTCTGCTAGGCCCATGAATTAACTAAACGCAAGATAAATACCGGGGCACCCAGCCCCCACTTTCCATCTGAGCTGTTCCCTTGTACAGTCAGTTTGCAATCACCCTAGGCTCCAGGAAAGCTGGGATTTGACACACATAAGCATCTTGGGACACAAGTCAAAGTATCCCTTAGCTAGTCATTGTCAATATCTGCACCTCCAACAAAAGCTAAACATAGCTAAAGATGTATTGAAGTCTGCCACATAATCTCCTTTCTCTGTCCTTCATCAATTGTCTTTATTTGTCCAGACCTGAAATGTGGGACTTCTAGAGTTTGGGCCTAAGGTTTAAAACCTCATTTCAGTCCCAGTTACTCTGAAGAAAAAGAGGAAGAGGAAGAAGGCTTAAGGCCAGCACCGGCAAGAGAAGTTAGCAAGACCTATCCCAATCCACAGGTGGCTTGGGGTGTGCTTGTCATCCTAACTATACTGGAGTTATAAACAGGAGGACTGCAGCCTAAGTCAGCCTGGGGAAATAAACAGGAGACTCTACTTGAAAGACAGCTGAAAAACAAAAACAAAACAAAACAAAGCAAAGCAAAAATCCAGTAAAAGCCGGGGGCGTGTCTCAAGCACTAGCATACCTACCTAGCAAGCAGGAGGCCCTGAGTTCAAAATCTCAATACCGTCGAAATAATTAAAAGGGTTGACAAATGATCAAGGAGAAGAATATTTTAGAGGCTTATTAAACATCAGATAAAAAGGCAAAGTCTTTCCCCTTGGAGCAAATCTTGCCTATACAGATCACCAAGTCCTTCTTACCTAATTTCTATTGCATTCAACATAAAACATCTTCAGCTTCCAATGTTCAGCATATTGCATAAAAAGAGCTCCTTATATTTACCCTTATGTGTGCCAAGAAGACACAATATAAGGAGAGAGACTAGCAATCCATTACTAAAAATAACATTCCATCCAAGAAAGAATGACTCAGCAAACCCTTCAGTCAGTTAACAATGTGATCAACTCAAATACACCCGAGTAAAACACAGATTTTTTTTAAACAATCAAGTGCATTTTCATCATCTCCACTTCACTACTGTCATATGTAGATAAGCCATATTATCAGTAGAAAAAAATAATCTGACTTCTTCAAATATTTACCATAAAAAATTTAATAGGGATCCTGACTAAAGATATTGAATCTACTGCTTAAAAATCTTAATTAGCAAAGAGAAAGAAGATTTATAAAACAAATGAAGGATTAAAAACATTTGTGTTATAATAAGCAAATCAGGTGCCAGAAATTTGGGACAAGCAGTTCTCAGTGTTTATTTACTTAATTTTCTCAAAGTATAGCAGGAAGGTACAATGGCTATTTCCAATTTATAGATGAAGTGATGTGTATACAAAGAAGTTGAGTAACATATTAAAGCTACCAAACTTAACCCAGATGATGATGACTCACATACGCTTTACTTTTTTAAAAATAAAAGTTTTGCTATACTTTAGGCCTCATTTTTAGATGTATGTAGCTGGAGGAACTTCATACTGGATGAGCCACTATTTCACCACAGTGAGAGATATTTCATAATTATTTTTACTATTAATTTTAAAAAATTGTTATTATAAAGGTGATGGACAGAGGCATTACCATTTCATAAGTCAGGTAATGAGTACATTTCTTTTTGGACAATGTCACTTCTTCCTTTGCTCTCCAATTTTCTTATTAAAAATCACTATATTTAATATACTTGTGTGCTGATTTGAAGAAAAGTTTTCAGCAAAATAATGACAGTATTAAGGTAAGCAAATTGGATTCTCTAATGCAATTTCTAGTACTGAAGAACTGCCTTTGGGTGGCTTGAATCGTGCCTATTTCTTCCTCTTAGAATTGGGTCTGGCTCCTGCTTTTATACAGGGAAGATGAGAAAAAGGCACCCAGTATGAAATTATCCCCTTTGGAGGAGCTTGCTCTGTAATACTGAGGTCTAGCCTCCTCAGGCCTCTATGT